AGCAGACTCCTCCTCTGCACTTCCTCTACTAGCATCACGGAAACAGCTAGCAGTAAGTCTTGGTTGTTGAAGACAGGACATCTGGACTGCTCTCTTGTTCTGGCCTCTATTCCATAATACATTTCCAGTATCTTTTTCATTGTCTACAAAACAGAAATATTCCAAAGAAATTATGAGAGAAATTATATTTGACACAAGTAATACTGAGATTACAACAAATTTTATATGGCAGTTATAAAATCTCTCCCTCCCGCCCTCCCTTGGTCACGACCCAAAGCTCATGACCATAGATGAGGGTAGGAATGTAGATCGACCGGTAAATCGAGAGCTTCGCTTTTTGAGCTCTCTCTTCACCACGACGGACCGTTACAGCACCCGCTTCATGGCAGATGCTGCTCCAATCCATCTGTCAATCTCCTGCTCCCTTCTTCCCTCATTTGTGAATAAGATACGAGATACTTGAACTCCTCCACTTGAGGCAGGACACCCTCCCTGACCCGGAGAAGGCACTCTACCCTTTTCCAGCTCAAGACCACGGTCTCGGATTTGGAGGCACTAATCCTCATCCCGGCCACTTCACACTCGGCTGCGAACCGTTCCAGCGAGAGCTGCAGATCATGTCCTGATGAAGCCAATAGGACCACATCATCCGCAAAAAGCAGAGATGGAATCCTGACGCCACCAAAACGGATCCCCTCAACACCTTGACTGCGCCTAGAAATTGTGTCCATAAAAGTAATGAACAGCATCTGTGACAAAGGGCAGCCCTGGCAGAGTGCAACCCTCACTGGTAACGAGCCCGACTCATTGCCGGCAATGCGGACCAGACTCTGACAGCGGTCATACAGGGACCTGACAGCCCGTATCAAAGGGCTTGGTACCCATACTCCCGGAGAACCCCCCACAGGGGACCCAGAGGGACACGGTCGAACGCCTTCTCCAAGTCCACAAAACACATGTGGACCGGTTGGGCAAACTTCCATGCACCCTCCAGGACCCTGCTGAGGGTGTAGAGCTGGTCCAGTGTTCCACGACCAGGACGAAAACAGGTGAAAAAGAGACATAGTACTGTTGTTCTAAGATCATGTATATGACAGTATATGTAATATAGTATATACTGTAGTATATGTAGTATATTTGGTAGGACAGGGGTGTCACAAGCAAAATCAATAAGCTATATGCATATTTTAGTAAAATTATCTTGGTTTTACATGCATTCTATTTTAATTCAGTTTGTTCGTGCTCACCGAAGCTGTGGCATCAAATCAGGGGCCATTTGACGGTAAAACGACTCGGTCAGGCCGCTGTCGCTTTGCAGCGCAGTTAACTCCATCTGCAGGCGGCAGGGGGCGCTGCAGACATCGGCGGTGGAAGGATTGGCAAAGATGTCAAAATCAGAGTGTTGCGATTTAAAGTCGGAAAAGCGCCGATCAAACTCGTTTATTAACAGAGTTAGTTTGGTGGTTAACTGAGCACATGGAAAAGCACCGGAAGCTGAGGCCGAGATGATCTGACGAGCACGGAAATGGTTTTGTTCCACCGTCCACAGGTCGAGTTTGCGCTGGAAAGCTGTGATCATGTGTGATGACTCGTTTACGTCCATGTAGTTTCTGATTGAGCTGAGCAAGACGCTCGGTGACGTCACATAACACTGCAGAGTCACAGCCATTTCGGATCGGACAGTTCAGACAAGAGTTTTCCTTTGTTTGTCATGAAAAGATCAATTTCTCCTAGAAGTTCAAAAAGTCGTTTTAGGGCTTTGCTCCAACTCAGCCCCTCACTTCTGTATAGTGGAGCAAATCTTCATGCTCTGAACCAGAACAGCTGAAACTGGCGGTGATTCAGGTTCACTTTTCATGACTGAGGTCATCACACCGTCCAACTCCAGAACCTTTCCACACAGCGCCCCCTGAAGGATAACGCGATGATGCTTCTCTGCATTTTCTCCATCAGTTTCTCCTCCACACATTGCAGGTGCATAGTCTGCAGTTCGTCCCATCAACATCCTCCAGGACGATTTCTTCATCAATCTTGGTCTCTTCCGTGGATTCTGGATCTATGGAACAACCTGGTAATGTTTCTCTTGGGAGTTCCTCCTCTGAAGAAACCTCTTGACTTAAATCTTTAACCAGGTCGTCTTGGCTCTGAGTCTTCTTCCTTCTCTTGGAAAACTGTGATGTGTTTCTGTTGGGAATCTTCTTTCTCTGCTCTCAGCGTGTCGGGCAGCAGAAGATCCTCTTTCGCTCTTTCCAATTCATTTTTCATGCAACTCATCTGTTGCTGGTATTGTTCTGCTTGTTGTTTCAATGCAGTGACATCGGTTTCATACCGACAGTTGAGCTCCTGGTACAAACCTTCAACCTTCTCCAACTCAGCCTGGGCACTCCGTTCTTTCTCTTGCAGGATTTGCAATCATTACTATTAATGTAATGATTGTATTACATTAATGCAATCATTACTATTAGTGAAATGATCCAGGCCTTTTCTTGTTTTTTTTTTTCTTGGAGGATGGCATTCCCAGCTCTCATGTTGTCCTCTGATTTCTCCATATGAGTTTTTCTCTCCTGATGTATCTGCAGATGAAGCTTTTCGCGTCGTCCTTGCAGCACAGAATAGTTTATTTCATGGATAATCTTCTCTTTTTCTCTTGAAACAGCTGTTTCCTCCTGCTTTATTTTCTGCTGGTATGTTTCAGCCTGCTGCTGTAAATTCTTAATTAACTGTAATCCTTCATTGTATGAACATTTGATCTGATTCAATTCTTCTTGTAAAAGTTTGTCATTGTCTATCAGGAATGTGATCTTTTGTCATTTCTTGAATTATATCGTCCTTTTCAGCTCTCAGATTATCCAGGATCTGTTCCTCTCTGAGCTTCACTTCATAAATCGTTTGTATCTTGGCCTCTTGCCTCACCAGAGCAACATCTGCTTCATACTGAGAGTGCAGCTCCCTGTAGGAAGTCTTTAGTTCATCCAGTTCTTCTTTGAGGGACTCACTTTTCTCCTTCTCAGCATGTATTTAAGCAGCTATTGCTTCCAGGCTATGGAAGTGGACCGCCTTTAAGTCCTCAAACTGTTGTTCCAAGTCCTCTTTCTCCATGTCCTTCACGTCTTTGTGAGCCAATGACCACAATTTTCAGGACCTCTGGATCACTGAACCTGTCTCTCAGATTCCATCTTTGCCTTTTTGGCCTGGTTGAAAAACCCTTCTTTGAGATCTTTCTGCTTTTTTAACCTCTTCCAGCTCTGCCTCCAGGTGGGCCAGTCTTTGGTTGTCTTCAAACCTCCTGGCGGTTTTCATTTCCAGGAGGAAGCTCAGTCTTTAGATTCCTCATGTAAGGCTTTGGGGTGTTCAGGAGGGAACCTGCCTCGGGGGTTTTGCTGATCTCCTCTTCTTGCATCGGGTTCCGTCATCCCACTTTGGTATCTTTGCGCATGTTGAGACATTTTTCTTTAAATACAATCACTAAAATCGTTGGTTGGTAAACTACCTGAATGGTTGATTTGAAAGAGTTTTGCGGGCGTCTGAACTGGTCCATGATCTTGCAAGCAATGAAAAACATTCAGAATTGTGTTACATACAATTCTGCAGTTGATGACATCACAGTCTGAATCGCCAGTGACTTCACAGAATTCCTTTGCTGGTGGTTTGACATCATTCCACCACCAAATATCCATTCTTGTTTACATTCAAAATAGTTCATGATTCTCTTGTTTCATCCCGTAAATCAGGGACATCAAACTCATTTCCATCTGGATCCAGATCAAAAATCGGAATGTTCTTAAAGGGCCTGATGGCCCAGAACGTATTGATAAAAAAAAAACAATTAATAAATAGGTGCTTCAGGATTCAATGACTGTTACTTAAAATAACATAATATTGGACATCTTTTCACACTAATCAGTCCATCCAGGATTGTTTTTATGGTTCTCTGCAATCAACATAACAGATTTTTTGGTGTTAATTTTGAAATATTTGAAAGGATTTTTTTACAATATTTGTGCTATTATGTTAACTGAGACCTTTTATTAATTGCCCTATCAGCCGTGGACTATGAATTGCCATCAAGTAACAGCAGCCACTTGCCAACAGCAACTAACTACAGCAAATGTTTTGGCTAACTTTTGAGAAGAAATGTTGATAAAATCAGAAAAAAATGTGGGGATTTGTTGATTTTTGTGTGAATTTTGCAGTTATTTGTGAAAAACTGGAGGGACCTATTGCTATAATTTGGAGTCTAAAGGGCCACATAAAAAGCTGTGGCGGGCCAGATTTGGCCCTCGGGCCTTAAATTTGATCATAATCTCATGAACTTTTTTCAATATCTGTTCCTTGGGAAGTTAATTTTGCTTGTTTACTCAAATATTTTCTTTTCTTTTGCATAGTGGAAAAAGAGTGTGAAAGAACATTTATAATAAATAGATGTAAACATAAAAAAGTAAAAAATAAAATCTATAACTACCGATTTCTAAATCTCATCCAAAGGCAAAAATAAAATCTGCAAAAGCTAAAATCTGAGGCCTCCATTTTTGTTTACAATTAGTGAAGGAAGTTGTGCTGTTTCTTCAGAGATTTGTGGAAGTGGGCGGGGCTTGGTGAGGGCAGGCGTTTAAGCACCTCTGAAGGGTTCCCACAGGAGATTGAATGATTCTTCCGACCTCATGAATGAAAGAATCAATCCAGGTATGTTTTGCTAAAGCAGTAACATTATATGTGAAATACTTGCCCATTCTTAAACTACGTCTGGACATCCATTGTCAAGTATTGTCACAGAATTCCTGTCAACTCCGGTGCATTTTTCTGTAATAACATTTATCCCTACAGCATAATGCTTCTCTAGTGGAGAATTTTTCACAACTCGACGGCATTTTGAGTGTAGGTCATAAATTGGTATTTGGCATAAACCCCAGGTTTGCTGGTAGGAAAATGCAAAAATTATGTCAGCAAATTTCTGTTAAACCATTTGATGGAATAAAGGCTCATTAAGACAAAGTCCACTGTACAGTTTTAATAATACATTTTATTCCATTAAAGTTTTTTTTTTTTCTAGTTTTACACTGGAATGTCAGGATTCCCCTTCTGCAATTTTGTTAAAAAAAGAAAAGAAAAGTTGTTTCTGGTCATTGTTGACCCCACATCCACACAACCATTGCTAAATTGAAATTGAAGGGCGGGAAAGGAGGGAGTATAACTAAAAAAAAAAAAAAAAAAAAAAAAAGACAAATTGACTTCATGTATAATGTTGACGCTCTTTGACGATGGAAGTAAAGGATGACTGGATGGATGAGCATTACAGCTCAGTGGGGGGAGGTGATGGGAAATGTTAGGTGGGGGAAATAACAGCTGAATCTGATTTTAAACCCTTGAAGTGCGAAATCTCAGGGTTCATCTCTGAACTAAAATGGAGCACAATTAAACATGGCGTCCCTTCTAGACGAGGCGAGGAGTGGTTTAATGGTGTTCCAAAAACAACATGGTGGGGAAGTTTAATGATTTTACTGATAGGTGTGTTGTTGTGAGTCCCTTACAACGTTCTGCCAAATTCACTGAGCTGAGCAGTGGTCAGAATGAGCAACAGTCGAAAAGAAGAGCAGAAATAACAAGACGAGCTTTTGTTTACGTTCTCCAGGAAACGGAAAATCTGAGATATGAAAACAGAAAGTCACAAGAGCTTAACAATCACACATGAGACAGCGACAGTAAGGGGGGAGAAGAAAGCCACCGTTCCATAATCACCGCAGTGTGAGAGAGAGAGAGAGAGAGAGAGAGAGAGAGAGAGAGAGAGAGAGAGAGAGAGAGAGAGAGAGAGAGAGAGAGAGAGAGAGAGAGAGAGAGAGCCCATCTGTGGAGGATGCATGATGATCGGGGAGGGGGCGGAGCTAAGCTAGCAGCGCTAAGGTCCTGCTGTTCCTCCACCTGCACTTACTGACACAGCTGGCCTCTCCTTCATCCCCACAGTCATCCTCCAGTCATCCTCTGTACAGTTCTGCACCACAGCATTAGTGGAAGGAGAAGTTGTGTGTTGGTTTTATTCCTGTTCAATTAACTCTATATATAGATGATCCTCTGTCATACAAACATAAATACACCGCTGCTGCTGCTGCTGCTGCTCTTCCCCACAGGAGGTGCCGTTGCCACAGCACTGGCAGGCGTCCTGTCTGTGTACAGTCTGATAATATACAGGGGCAGCAGGCTGGAAATCGTCGATCTTTCTCTGTAGCATAGATTTGGACTTTTTTTTGTAAATGGTGATTTTTTTTTTCTCATTTTGCCATTTTCTTCTAATATTTTTACTCAATTACGTATTTGTCAACAACAAAGGAGGTTTCTGAAGAGAATCTGACGGAGCTGTCGCCATCTACATGAGACACTTTGGTAACCTAAGAGGAATAAAAGAAAAACAAAGTAGGGGGTTATTTTACTTTGTAATTGAAAATGACTAAAAAACAAAATGTAACATTTCGAAAGAATTTTTTTAAAATATGAATTACACGTTACATGAATTTCTGTAACTTGTCACATGATGGTCACGTCTGTGATAATCAACATTTCACATGAAATGTTTCAACTTTATTCTGAATGGGAAAAAATGGAAACTGAAGTCTTCAAAACGAAAACGAAAACGAAAAAAAAAAAAAAAAAAAAAAAAACGGTCCGGTTGAGACCAAAACTGAAGACTTTCATCATCCAGTTTTTGGTAGAAAGTTAGAAATAAAAGAGAAAAACAATAATTAATGAAAATGGAAATTGAGCTTGTTTTAATTTTTCATGCATTTATTTACTGGTTTAAGTGACAAGTCTGATAAATATTGTTATTTTGAGACCATTTTCAAATAATATGTTTATAATGGTACAATATTACAAGTTCAGTCTCAAAACACAGACTAGAAATGGAAGGTGTTTTTAAATGAATAAAATAAAACACAACCAGAAACAAATAACTAAAAAGGAAATAAACAACCAAAACTATGTGTAAAATGGATTATTATGTCTGTTAGCAGAATTGCCCATCAAAATATATAATCTGTATAAGTTGGTGCAGGCCTAGTTATTTGAAGTCACTTCACACAAAAAGTCTGACAGGTTCATTGATTTGATCAAGGATGACTGGAAGTGAAACATTACAGATATCTCATCATTTCTCAGGTGTGAGGGCTTCGTGTCTCAGCAGTGAGCCGCAAGTTTCTCAAACCAACACGGCTCCAAGTGACCACATAACCACACTGCTGAGCAGTGCAGAGCCAACAGACCTCTTCATCCAGCAGCTTCAAACTCCCTCTTCCAATCTATGTACCAACTATTCACCATCCCCACCGTTACTGCACTGATTTCATCTAAAACTATTAAACCGAAGCTTCTTAAGAAAAGACTGCACCTTCATTGGGAGCTCACCTGAATGTCACAGTAGTTGCGCTTGGACACGAAGGACACATTGATGGGAAAGAAATCATTGGGCTGCCCGGCGATGCTGAATTCCAGGCTGCCGGTTTTGTTGTTGGCATCGATGACTGGTAGGCACCACTCCAGGACGTTTCGCCGGCTGTCGTATTTGTACTCGCCATCCAGATCTCCGATCACTGGAGCGCCCACCCCGGACCTGGAGGACGACGACAGGCAGACGACTGCAAACCGTCACAGTGGATTCAAACACAGAGAGACGTCTCATTGGCTCAGAGAGCGACCTGAGATCACTTCCAGTTATTGATATTTACATTTATATTGTAGGTTCTAATTTTTGTTTTTTGAAGAGATATTTATCTTTATTTATAGTGTTTTGGATCATTTTAGCACATTTTCACAAATGTCAATTAGTGTTCAATGTCTGTACTAAAATTAAATAGCCATTTTTTCCCCTTCATTTAATCAGATATTACAGAAAAAACTGCTGTGATTTGATTGATAAAATAATATACATGTACACAGCTGTAATATTAAAGGTTCTGTGTTTAGAGTATTGAATTTGACTGGCGTGATCTGGAGCGTAACCATGGAGAGTTGGGGTGCTTACGGAACAGGGATGCTGATGACGACGTCGTTCAGTTCCAGGTTCTCCTCCTGCAGCTCGTACTCGATGTTGACGTCGCAGCCGGAGCCGCTCTCTGAAGGCCAGCAGTTTACTGGGAGACAGAGCAGTTGGATGAGAAAGCGGCACATCTACTCTACTCTGACTACTGAGGACCAACAGATACAGCACAACTTATGCTGATCGCACCTTACAGTCAGTAATCGCATTATCAAAGGAAATGGAAACATTCCAGTTAGATTTGCTCAAGTATTTCCATCTCTGTGGCAAACAGTCCCACGTTAAAATAAATTTGGATAATCTACAGGAAGGATAATATGCACTCACTGGTTAGAGGTATGAGGGACTCGTCTGTGGTCTGGAGTCTCCATTTCAGAACGCCAACATCGTTATTGAGAGGGAAGGACTTCTCTGGGTTCTTTAGACCAATCACCGATTCAGCTGTGAATAACTTCTTGTCCACGTTAGGATGTGTCTGCAAACCAACAACATTTAACCTGGAGTTAGTTTACCAATCAGAATTCAAACAGGATGTGGATCATTTTGTCTAGTTTAGGTTTTAGCTTTACTGCTGAACTGTAGCTAGGAGGGAACATCAGCAATAGCAGCATGTGGCAAATCACAGCCACTTTAGCACATTTTCTTATGTAAAAGAAAGTCTTAATGAACAGCAGAATTAATATTCTTTAGGCCAAAGAATATTTCCAAAAAGAGTTTTACCTGTTCGAAATGCTTTGTGCATTTTAATGTACAAGTTCCCCCTATTCAGTACTTATTGATTTTTAAAGTTCAATACATTTCCATAAACAAGAATATATAAGCAGGTGAAACTATTAGTTTATATCCACCATACAAAAATACTTTTATCACAGTCTGAAGTGAAATCAGACCAAACATCTCCTCTCCTAGGTTGGTTGGAATAACCAAAATTAATTCTACTTTCTAAATGCCACAAAATTCAGAGAAATAATATATCTCAGAATAATTTATTAATATCTTCAAAGTCAGAGGTTTACATTCATTTCCTCAGTGTTTGGTAACATTTCCTTTGACTGGGTCACACATCTGGTTTTCTTCAACAAGCTTCTTCCACCAGTTTGCTGCATTCAGAGAATTTCAGATATTCCACACATTTGAAAAAAAATGTATTTTCATATTTTTCAGACAAAAAATCTACTTCAACTATAAACATCAAAAGCTCTCATTTGGAAAATCCATGTGTTCTGATCTGTCACAATGTAGCATCACATTATATTCATCATTAAGTACAATAATGAAAATGGGATGAAGATAAAACACAAATACCTGAAGTCTGCTGAAATGTTGTTTATTAAAATTAATAGGTGTGGACTTCATAAGGGCCCGAACATCAGTATGCTTATTAGTGATTTTTTTAATGACCCACCTGAAGCTGCAGCCCTTTGTTGTCGTTGTTGTTGATGACGAGGCGGATGCGGCCGTTTTTCTCGTCTGTGACCCGGAGCGTCACCATGCCCAGCACCTCCATGTTCTGCAGACCGCCATCACGGCCGCAGCTCAGCGAGATCTTCTCTTCCACGCGCAGATGTACGCTGAGGAGCGAACACACACAGTAGCGGCTTCAAACACCAATCGACCGATTTTGTTATGCTAAAGCCAAGAAAATCAATGTAGGAAAACTGGAAAGTGAATCCATTCTGAACCAGAGGTGTGTACCTCTCCACATTGACTGGCGGTGGCAGAACCTTGGACACGTCTGAGCCTCTCTTTCCTGAGGAGGAAATGATGGTTTCACCCTCAGACTTGAGCTGGTCAACAAAGTTATCCACTTCTTTCCCTTTAGCGCCTAGCTTCAGAGCCTTGCTCGGCCCGCTTGATCTGGAGGAACAAACAAACAACTCATCAGCTGACCGATGAGAAGAGCTGCACGCTCAGCTGGGGACCGTTTTGCGTTTCACGGTGCCGTACCGGACTGGAGCTGGTGTGATCTTGGGTTTCTCAGGTTCCACTATGGTGTCTGTGATGAGGGACCCTGAGGACATGCTGCTCACGTTACCGAACCCGCCGAACGCCGGGACCTTCTTCCCAGAGCGCTCGGCATCTCTCCTGGCCTGCTGCAGCTCCTTCGCTTTCCTCCTCATCTCCGCTTTAGCCTCGCGTTCCTGAGTCTGCAAACATTACTGACCGTTGACACAGTCCTTTTCTCCTTTTTTCTCTGTTTTCATGCATGTCCGGCGTCTTACCTCTCTGACGGCTCGGAACACCTTCTCCTCGTGGGAGTCCATCTCTGTGAAGGTACGGATCTGAGCCAGGTTGACGTTTTCTCTGTAGCCGAGTGCCACGATCTCGTCAAAGGCAAAGATGAGGTCGAAGCAGTGCTCCGAGATTTCACTCTCCTCTAGCACACGACAGTACTCTGGGATCTGGAGCGGAGCAGTAACAGGGATGAACTGATACAGACAGGAAACTCAACCAACACAAAGTTTTGTGAAAAACAACAACTTTAGTTTTTGGAAAAACATTTTGTCTTTCACTGTAAATGTGGCGCTGGAGCAGGATGGCCACTGACTAAGCAAACAGGTTCAGTTATCCTGGAAATTAACAGAATTTAGACATCTGTCTCATTGACCAGAGCAACAAAAACTTACAACTCCTGGGAGAAACACCACAAAAGGTTGCATAACATGCATAAAAGGTTGCACACACATTTTTTTATTGTCTGCAGTGAAACCAGACTAAACTTCTCTTGGTTTAGAATCACCAAAATTATTTCCACAATACTGAGAGAAAGAATAAATCAGTTCTATCAATAAATCCTTTTCCTCTTTAAAAGTCTTGAAATTTTCAACTGAAACCCATATGTGTGTGTTTAAACACCCAGCTGCAGTCTGAAGGCGGCCAGTGTTTGTTTGTGTGTGTGGTGTGTGTGTGGTGTGTGTGTGTGTGTGTGTGTGTGTGTGTGCGTGCGCATGTGAGCTTTGCTCCATCAGTATGGTTCATCTCCCTTCTTCAATGTTTAGTCGGCTCTGTTCTGCTTTTTCAGAACCATCACCAGATTAAATTAGAATTTAAAATTTAAAAATTTCTGCTCTTCTGAAATGTCTAACCATCAACTGCCACATTATTATTAAAAGCATCTTCAATTCCATTTTTTTGTGGCGTACAGTAAATGTTCCAAGCGTCCTCTGGGCTTTTCTTACCACACGGGAGAACAGTCTGAGTGTCTCCAGATCCTCCAGAATGTTGCTGTTCTTGGTGGTGATGAGGACCATGTAGAGCTTCTCCAGCGGTTGGTACACGTAGCGCACACTGTCTGTTTCCACGAAAGTGTGCTGCTTGCCCGTGTTCATCAGCTTGGGGAACGCGGCCAACAGGCCCTCGATCCGCGTCCGGGTCATTTCCACAAACTGCCGCGACACGATGGCCTTCCCGGCCTTGGTGCACACCGCCGCTGCCAACAGCACCTGCAGGGGTGGGTGGGGTATAGGTCAACCGATGAAACACCTGCAGACATTCCCGTTCTGCATGCATCTCTCATTTAGAGTTCACAATCCTAACTAGAATGGAGAATTTATTTTTTAAATAATAATTTCAGAAATAAATATTCTGTCAGAGTAACAATAATCAGTCAGTTAGTCTGACTAATCAATCAGATACACTACTGGTCAAGGAATTTTATGGTAATATCAGTAATATGAATAATTTAGAAAACTGCAGCTTGAAGTGTGATAAATGTTAGCTCATGATTTTGACTCCATACATTCACAATCTGTATGTCAGTGATATATTTAGAGACAGTGGTTTACTGCAGCATCATAATCTTCTAGAAGGTAAAGAGGAGCAAATGTAGTAAAGTGGGTCCATCCCATCCATCACTCTTCCTTGTTTTGGAGCTTTTGGCATGTTTAGCAAATCAATATCAAATCAAATTTTATTTGTATAGCACATTTCAGCAGCAAGGCATTTCAAATAGCTCCACAAACTCTATTCATTGATTTCTTTGTGGACTTCCCTTAAGATTTTTTGTTAAGATATAAAAGAAAGCAGATTCCACCTCCTCTTTTTCCCCTATGCGTCTTTCCTGGGGACCGTCATGTGTGTTCATTTGCAAACTCCTGAATGAATGTCTAGTTCAATCCACTGCGTGTGCTGATCTCATATTTTTGTTAAATTGGCTTCCTAAAAGGTTGAGAATAAAATAGTGCCATTCAGACTGTATCATATTCCAGATCATGGCCTTGTCATATCCATGTTGACAACCACATTTCAAATGATTCTCTACTGTTTATTTGTTAATAAATGTTATATATCCCCAATAAATAATATCTACAGGAAGTCAGTCATTTTGTTTTCATCAAACAAAATAATCGTTCATAATTCATAAAAGTCAACGGTTTCAGATGCGGATCAGATCTAAAACAAACAAAGTGTCATTCAGAGTTCTCAGAAAATAAACATGATTTTATTATGCATACGATTTTAAACTATTATGAAAATTAATCTCTGTAGCTCCTGACAGTACTTAATAAGTATAAAACACAAAATGACATATTAGAGCTAAAAATATATATTGAATTACAATCAGCATTAGTTTTAATGCAGGTCACACTGCAGTTGAATGAACTTTCAGCCCAAAACAGGTGCAGGTTTAAACATACAGACTGCTGGGGTCACTGACAACGCAAAATAAAGAAAACTGGGTAAAATGATGGGTTTCCCAGAATCTGTATCATCATTGAATTATTTTAAATCAGGTCAAATTTTCCTTTTTTTTTCCTTAAATCATGCAGCCCTATATAAGAACACAGACGCAACAGAGTAATTTATTGGGACAAAATGGCAACAAGTCGGTCTACCACCAGATGGAAATATGATACAGATATGATTTTGTTGCAGTCCATTTCATAAGCCTCCTACTTTAGAAAAACACTGATTAAAAAGGAAGTTAGGAATCCCGGTACATCCTCAGAATTGGGTGAACGTGAGCCTTTACTTTCACGTTGAGGTAAAGTGTCATCACCGGGAATATTTCATGCTTTAGAACTGTAATTATTTGGATAATCTTAACGAGAAAGGAATAATAAGCTATTAATTTTATGCCCTCTCTGTGTCCAGCATAAAGTGGACGTTGCTTTAGAATGATTAGGCACTGTGACCATATGTACACAGAGAGCAACATGAGAGAAACAGTTTGTACAGAATGCGTTACAATATTGGGACAGCTCAACATCCCTCTATGAAATATAAAGCCACCCCCATAAAAACTAAGCTTTACATGACGCTTACAAACACCATTCAAATGAAGGAACATTATCACAACCTAAAGAAAAAGGCTGCTTTTGTTCCACGTTGACGTTGAAGGCAAACTGACTACGTGTTGAGCTTCTAGACAAGCTAAGACTGGTTAGCATAACATTGCTGTCATCGCTTGGAGACTATATTAAAGAGCATATGCACAGGTTTATACTTTGTATTAGAAGAGTTGTTTGTGGAGGGCCAGGAGGGGACAGTCTGAACGCTTAGCTCGGGTCCAGCTAGTGACAGATGATAACTAGCGCTAGCATGTGAGGCTAGTTAACGTCAGCAGTGTCTGCAGACTCCATATCCCTGATTCATGTCGCACTGACTTAGTAAAAAAAGAAACATTCATTGGCTGTGCACCAATATTCACAACATTAGCCTCGGCAGTCAGCTGAATCAGCTGCTGAATTTCTCTCGTTTCCGTTTAATAGAATACAGGCCACAAAAGTGCTAGCGTTAGCCACTGTTATGATAACTGCAAGGCCCGATAACAACTAAAACGATTTCCAATGACTTTCAGCTTTTACTCACCATGTTTGGTCTCTCTTTATGTGTGAACGCTCTTCAGTCCGTGGTGTATGTGGTTTGGGAGGAGATTTATCGTCACTCTGGAATGCCAGGGTGCGAATACAGCTGACTTCGAGTAAGGTGAAGCGTTAGCTAGTTAGCGTCAATATGGCAGCGGCAGCGGAGAGCCACGTATCCACCGGAAGAGACTCGCTGGATCAGCCCACCGTGGAAACCGGTGACGTGGGCTCCAAAATGTTGGCCTTGGTGGAGGATAGGAGTATTTGTTTGTTTCTGCAGACCTACATTTCTCAGAAAATATCCAAACTAGACTGTTTTATCAACGCCAAGAGCAAAACTGCTAAATCATTGTGGCACTGAAACAAAAAACACAACATTACAAGCTCTTGTTAAAAATGTATTAACTTACTTATTGAGTCAAATGTTTTAATTACGTGTGCTAATGCCGTGTTTGTATTTTTTTCAGGTTTTTCTCTCTCTTATAAGTGAGAGCTTGGATCTCAATGGGTCAATCTACATGAATAACACTTAAATAAATAGAATTAAACATATTCCAAATTGTGAAAAATATATTTGACCAAAAATGTTAATGTTAGACTTATTTTATCGTCGCATTTGAACTTCTATCGGTTGCAGGCTGCGTTATTCAGTTTTGTATAGGCAAATTATCCGCAATAATTTGTTAAAAATTTATTTTTCTCACAGAGCCCTCTTCAACCAGTGACTTCGCAAAGGAGACAGTAGGGGGTGCTATAGCTCCCCTCTGGGTTAGACATTTAACTCCCATGAAAATAAAAATTTTAAAAAGTGCTTTTTAATTGTTGTTTTTTTTTCTATTTGAAATATTTTTGATCAAAAATACAATCCCTATTAAGCTGTCAAATTTGTAAATGGTTTTGAACTAACAAGAAAAAAAAAAGGACAATGGAAAATGCAACATGCTGCTGAAGAAATAAGGGCATGGATGAACCAACAACGACATTCAGGGGTTCTTATTTATTACGCAGCATTACAAATATTTATTTTTAGACTGCTTTTTTTAAATTATTCATTTTAATATCATTGTATGTGGGGCCACACACATCCAGCAATTATTTACTAAACTTAGACAAATAGAACCAATAATTTTCTGAGCAGGTTCTCATGTTTGTTGCTGAGAATAAACTAAAATCAATTTGTAGACCAACTAAATAGAAAACAAAATGTTAGGAAACTCTGACTTCAACAAAATATTTGCTGAGCAGATAAAAAGAAAAATAATTAACGGAAAAATTATTTTTGCGTTTTTATGTGTTTTTTCAAAAGTGCTTTTAACTTGAAGAGTTTTCCCCCCGGTGTAAAAAAGTTTGGACACTTCGGTCCTAGAGGGCGCTCGTCAGAATGAGGAAATGACCTCTACTTTGATGACGTCACAAGCATCCACTCTCATTCGCATGGAGCAGAACGAGAGTGGAGCTCTGAGAATTTGCAAGGATTTATTTTTTTTACGTGCAGAGTGTCGAACAAAGAAACCTGCCGAGCCCCACAAAACGACTTGAGGTCAACAGATAGCCGACATGTCGGAAGAAGCGAGCTCACAGGTAGGTTTTTATCTGGTCATCCTCATTTCTGCTCTTAGGAAGTACATGGTGCTTAGGTTAACTTCCGCCGACGTCACTTAGCTATGGCGCGCTGATTGGCTCATGTTCGTGTTTGCTCGGGAAGAGAAGCTCGGATTGGACGGAAAAGAGGAGGGGAAAAAGCCAGTTAAAGGCTTTAACCAGAGACTGGACTTCTTCCTGCTCCTTTTCGAGCTGACTTGTGATTTAAAAAATATATATTGTTTTTAATTTTCTCCCTTTTCAAAATAAAAATAAACTTTCTTCTTTCATTCATTCGTAGCTTCCAGGAGATCCTTTTTGAAGGACATTTAGTCACTATAAATGATTACAGATGACAATAATTTAGAGATGATTTTCAATGACGGTGTTACAATTTCACAATCAGAATAAATCATATGGTTATGTAGTCTTAGTCTTTTGCCTCGGACCCAATCAGATGTAGTCACAATGGAAAAAAACAGTAAAACTCAAATGTGGCCATTTTGGAACAGCCTTTTATGGTTAACACTCTCTTACTCCATGGTGATGTCATGTCAGCTTCACTGTGTCTAAGGCCTATGATGCTCTAAAGTTTAAAATGTTATCTTATCTGAGAGTTCAGGTTGAGTCTTTCAGAACTTGGTGAGGTTGTGACACACCAGCATACCAACGGATTTGGTTTTAGGGTCCAATAAAATGCAGAGAACCACGAGGTTTGATAAAAAACAAAAGCCACAATGCAGCAACAAAAGCTAAAAAACTGAAAGCTATGCTAAAGTGGAAGTTATGCTCAAATGGTAGTTGTGGCTTTTGAACCTCCTGAGCTACTATAAAAACAAATAAATATTTCTACAGAAAATTAAACTAATAATACTTTGAATGACTAATGGCTATTATGTCTATTTATTTGATATAACTGTATTTTGGTTTCTGTACAAAGACTTTGAAGCTGTTTCCTAGTTTTTGGTGACCAATGTTAGATAATTTCTTCTTTTTCAACTAATTGCCTCCCCAGTTCAAACCTCACACAAAGTCCTGAGAGTCACAAAGGTTTCAGGATCTGATTATTTTGCTGCTTCCAAGAATTTCTTTTTGCCTTGTGTATGTATCCACTCTTGAGCATTAAGGGTGTCCTCTTTCTATATTGACTCGGTTTTTATGCATGGAATCTCCATTCATAAAAACGGTGAGCCAGGTCTTCCACATGTCGGCCTCACCATGGTCACACCCTGCAGCCAGCAGCCCCTCCGTCTCAGACACCCACCCCTGCCTTTTCTAACGACACTCTTATCAGTCAGAACCAGAGATCTGTAGGTATGTGTGTCCAGAAGGAGGAGGGTGGTAAGAGGGGAGGATCAGTGAGTCACACCACTGTTTCTTGAGACTTTATGACCTCAGTCAGCACAGAGCCTTTTATTAAGACGCAGCAAGCAGGCCCAGACACAATAAGCTCCACAGTTCAGCGCCTCAGAGTGAAGAACCAGAGTAATGGAGGAAGGACCCTATAAGTACATCAGGGTAAGGGACAGCAGAGGGAAGGTGCTGTGCTTGGAGCGGTGAGAGATTCTTTGACTGAGATTGTTTGAATAGTTTTTTTGTTTTGTTTGTACCCTGTCAGGACGGGAACGGCAAAGTCAGCCGGGTCATCAGGATCGGAACTCGCAAGAGCCAGGTACGCTCAGTTATTCCTCCTCCGGTACATTTTCTCGTCTCTCTTTGCCTCTCATTCTGAACCTGGGTCGAGATGCTGCAGAGGTCCAGAATGTCAGTTGAGTATGAGTTATCTGATGCGGCCATGCGGCTGCAGAGGCAGCTGAGCAGGATGTCTGCAGCAGAGATAACACAGTCTTGACGAGAACTTCTCATCCTGCTCTCCGTACCGATTTCAGAATTTGTTGCCGTCTAGATTTGGTAGGGCTAATAAAAAATTAAATAAAAACTAAACTGACTCCTTTTGCCGTCTTCTGTTGTAGCTGGCTCGCATCCAGACTGACAGTGTGGCCGACAAGCTGAAGGAGCTCTACCCGGACGTCCACCTGGAAATAGGTGAGCAGCTGAAGCTGTGGATCCTTTACTAACTTTACAACTAGTTAGTAAAGTCAGACCAGGTCTGAACAACGTCTGTGGTTTACCTCCAGTCATCGTTGTTATGAATGGATGCACAAGTTTCATTTATTGTGTCTGTTTTAATCTAATCGGTAAATTATATGCCTGCATCCACACTACTAATTAGTTAAATAGTGGCAACCAGAGGAAATGACTTTGACTAAAAAAAAAAAAATGAAGTTCTTTTTATTGCGTCATTGTTTGACAAATGATACATTAAAAGTATCATTATTTAATGTGAAGTTGCATTAAAACTGGCATTAAAAGTCCATTGAAATGGTCAACTTTGCATTAAAAACGTCCTTATTTACCGAATGACACTTCATGACAACAGTCATAAACATTCATGAAAACTCCTTCATCTTCATGACAGGTGTTAGGTCACGTCTGTCTCATGTCATGCGTGAGGACCCTCAGTCAAATAAAGTGTTATAGAACACTTATTGCTTTTTAAAATCTGTGTAAGTAGTTCATCAGAATTAACATGTAGATATGTCAATAATATACCACAAAGAACCAAAAGCTAAATCATTTCCTCCCATGACTACACCGAGGCTCTAAACTGTGATGATTGCTTGGAAAATGAGTCACACACAGAACTGTGGAATAATTATTTCTTCATAATTCCCTGTTTCGAAAATAAACTTCCTGGCCATTTGCTGATATTTGCTGTATTTGTCACGAAGAATCGCTGTATACTACTCCTACACAAACCATAACATATTTTCTTTCTGTGTTCTGAAGTATATTTAGAAACAACCACAGATCATAATATGACAGAAATAGAAATAAAGTGATTTGCAGGGAGCAAAGTGATCTTATCTTCACTGCACAGAGAGCACTGTGTGATTGTTCAGATGTGGAGCTCTCACTGTTCAGACCTGTATGAACACATCTCTTTGCTGTTCTTGGTTTTGACCCCAACTATCATTGATACATTTCTTCTGTCTTCTAGTTGCCATGTCAACAACAGGAGATATAATTCTTGACAGAGCTTTATCAAAGGTAAGATCGTTGTTTACGGTATCATATGTACTCTGTGCTGCTACACCTTCACCCAGCAGTTTTTACTGTGCAGTCTAGAAAAGTAAGGAACCTGCAGGCCTGGATAATAAATATTGTTTTTATTTTTAAAATGTTTCCTTCAGATTGGTGAGAAGAGTTTATTCACCAAAGAGTTGGAGAACGCCCTGGAGAGGAACGAGTAAGTGTGACTCCTGTGGACTGTGTCAGGGTCCAGCTGGATGCTCAACTTACGCTCTTCGCTGGAATAAAGGAAGAATAGCAACTAAGTTGATTAAGGATTCATTCATCTCATAAAGTAAAATACATGTTGCTGTTGGGCCTGTCTGCACATTTGATGCACAAACGTATTCACACCCTTTGATCTTTTTAGCCAAAAATAGATATATATTTACTGTGCGGTTTTAACTTAATCAAATCTCTGACTGTTGTTCTTTCAGCATATGGCGTGTTCTGAAGTCTGCACACTCTAGTAAATGATTAGTCGATTACTAAATTTATTGACGATTATTTCAGTAATTGATCATTGCAGTTAATCGTTTCATTTCTTTGACAGGCCAACACAAAGTAGCATGAAGTTATAAAGTGGAGGGGAAATGATGGTTTTTCACAATTAAAATCTGGAAGCTGCTGCCTCTACAGAAAATTGATTGAAGAATGTTTAATACAGATTCATTTCATATTTTTTAAATTGTAAGAATGAAAAACCAGGTTCAAGTTTACTGCCCTGCAAATTCTGCCCACTTTGTGTTTTATCACATCAAAATCCAATGAAATATTTTGATGAGACAAAATGTGAGCGGGCATGAATACTTTTGTCCTCCAGAGGGAAACTCTTTGTAAAGTGCAGTCTCAAATGTAGCAGCTGCTTCCAGGCTGCAGCTGAATGAATGCATTATTCCAGTGAAACATGGCCGCCGCTGGTGTGAGTGATGTCCTTCCTGTGTGACCTGCAGGGTGGACCTGGTCATTCACTCGCTGAAAGATCTTCCCACCAGCCTGCCTGCAGGGTTCACCATCGGAGCCGTGCTGAAGTAGGTCCACAGTCTGCAGCCTCTGGAGCGTTTCAGGTCACATCTGGTTCCGTTTGCAGCTCAGACTCCACTAAGGAAGTACTGCCTCTGTTAGTCCGCAAACAGGAAGTCATCGGCTGTAGAAGAACGTTGCTATGGTTTTTACAAACATAGTTAAAGGAAGTTTGTGCACAAGCAGGACTGTTGCTGACCATTTTGGTGACCGAAGCACAAATGCTTAGTGATGCTTCCCCACAGCAGAGAGGAAATGAGCAACAATTCTGAGTATCACTCAATATGGAGGAGGAAAATAAAGGCTCATGGTGTCAACACATTGAGTGATAATAGCTGGCTTTCCATTACAAATATGCACAAACCCTTGTTGATATTCTGCTAATGTGAAAAAGACACAGTTTTATAATTGCTATGTTTTTATTAATTAACCTGCATTCATCCATTAGAATGTTTCTCATATTTTATTTAAAGATGTTATGACTGATTGTAGTGATTTTAAATGATTCAAAAACATGGTAAATATTAAAACATTATTTTTATAAAGAACCAAATGCCACGCTTTAACACTTTTAGATGATTCCAGTTTCTTCCACAAATGTTAGTGTTTCTTTCCAGCAGCAGCAGAGCTGGACAGTGACTTTGTGTTCACAATAAGTCTATTATTACTCTGTCTTCATGTCCGTGGGCAGATGGAGGGGACAGAGGGTCAAGCAGCATGTACCACTTGTGTCCTTTGTTTCAGGAGGGAGAACCCCCATGATGCAGTGGTGCTTCATCCAAGCAACACCGGAAAAACTCTGGACACCCTTCCAGAGAAAAGGTGGGGCTCGTTTAGAAAACTTGGAGTGTTGGTTATGAATAAATGAACAGATGATGTTTCATAGTATGTATCTGTGTGTGTGTGCAGTGTTATTGGCACGAGTTCATTACGCCGCGCTGCCCAGCTGAAGAAGAGGTTTCCCCATCTGGAGTTCAAGGACATCGTATCCTTTCTGACAGTTTTTCTCTTTTCATGACCAGAGTATTTATCTGATTTGAACTTTGTCACATTCTGTGTGATTGTTTTCCATCCATGTTATAAGTCAACACAAAGTCATGGAAATCTGTGAAGAGCGTGAAAAAAGACAACCTGATAAATTACTCAATTTGAGATTTCAAAATTAAGTTTGCTTAATGGAAACATAACAGTTTTGGCAAAAAAAAACTGCAACATAAAACTGCAATTTTCACATCACACAAGTCACATGATCAACAGCCAGATGTTGCCACTGACCCAAACCATGAAGAAGACAACAGGAAGTGGTTGGAGGATGATGGCGTCTCGTGTTCTTTAAGGACTCATCGCATGAACAAACTTATTCATGGAACATTGACATAGTTTTGTACATATTTGTTATGTAAACGCAGCTCCAGGCTACAAAAATAAAATTGACAAGTATTGCAAGCATTTATATCCAATTCAGTCCAATTCAAAATTGGTTCTGCCCTGCTTTGTGCTTGTCTGTTACCTGAAATACATTTGAAAATACTTTGAAGTCTTTGGCTTTTAAAGTGAAAAGTTGATTAATATTTCCAGGGAGTGCAGAAAACAACATGTTTTCTAGTTTCCACTGAGATGATGTGTTTCTTAACGGCTGCGCTGAGCGTGGGAACCTGAACACGCGTCTGAAGAAGCTGGATGAGAAGGACGACTTCGCTGCCATCATCCTGGCTGCTGCCGGCCTGAAGAGGATGGGCTGGGAGAACCGGATCAGCATGGTACTCCTTCTAATGATGATGTCAGATCCTCCTAGATATTTCTGATTGGTTCACATCTAAAAAACTCTTTGATCCTACTTCTAGGTCCTGGAGCCTGAAGACTGTATGTATGCTGTTGGACAGGTAGAGGAATAAATTGTGTTCAGTTTGTGTGATGGAAAGGTAACTCTGTGCTCAATCATGTTGACTTGAACTCCTGTGTGTTTGTGTTCAGGGGGCTTTGGCAGTGGAGGTCCGGGCCAGAGATGCAGACATCCTGGAGATGGTGTCTGTTCTCCATGACCCCGACACTGTGCTGCGCTGCATCGCTGAGAGAGCTTTCCTCAAACAACTGGTACAACAAAAACCTGTGCTATTAGAACAAATTTGTTTGTGTTAAATTAAGGAGTTGATTTTTATTCAGAATAACTTTTACTAATAGGAGGGCGGCTGTAGCGTTCCTGTGGCTGTGCACACCCAGGTGAAGGACTCCCAGGTAAGAATGATGGGAAGAGGAGGACTCTACTCTGCTGGTTACTAACTGCTGCTTTGACTGTGTGAAGTTGGGCTCCTGTGCACATGGGCCCCTCATCAGTCCTCTGTTAGCAGTCTCTCCCAGTTCAAGTTACTATATCAAACAGCAACTTGTAAACGCTTTAAGGAAATTAAACCGTTTATTCCAAGTCAGTGGGCACCAAAAATTAATTTAATTAACTAATTAAATTAATTAGTTAAATTAATTAGCACCAACTGACACCAACCAGTCAGTTGGTGTCAACAGTCACTTTAACTGTATAAGGTAACTTTATACTGTATACAGTTACTGTATAAAGTAATTGTACTTTATACAGTCACCGACTGTATAAAGTAGCTTTATACAGTTACTTTATATGTCATTCCAGATGTCTTTGTTCATCACCTTATTTGCCTCTGAAGGTTTATTCTGTTGGGTTTACTATGTACTGCTTAATGTGTAAATTATGTCATCTGAACTTTTTTTTCAGACATGAAAAAAAATGTCTATACTGTATACAGTATAACTAACTGTATACAGTTAGTTACATAAAGTAACTTTATACTAACTGTATACAGCTAACTGAATAACATTATACAGTTACTCTATACAGTTAGTTAACATAACCAAGGGACTTGTGGGTTCTCTTGCTTAGCCTGCTGCTTCCCCCTGACCTGAGCTCAGATAAGATCATGGATGAATATGAAATCTTATTTTAATAATAATTTTAAAAAGATGTAAAAATATTAAGGATTTTGTGAATTCTTACTCATTTTGATTAAACAAACACAGACCTGCTTCCCTCTGATTGACTCAAACCAGTCACTTGCAGTCTTGACTTCAACAAATGTGTTTAGACAATGATTGTCCAAACCAAAAGGTCAAACCGTATTCGTCTAAATTGAGACACACGATTTTTGATTTTCCAGTCAACTCTACATGATGCTGTTTGACACATATTTGTGCATGGTTTGACAAATGTCTTCAAAAATATTTACAAGTAAAACTGTAAACCTGCCCGTCCCTTTTCAGCTCTACCTGACCGGCGCCGTGTACAGTCTGGATGGATCACAGAGCATCAAAGAAACCATGCAGACCAGCATCGCCCCCGGCAATAAGGCGAGTTTGAAAGCGTTCCCTGGCCACTGCTCTTCTTTACAAGTGTGAATTCTCAGGTTTAATATTCCCACTGATGTTCACTCTCAGCAGAACCTGGAGAGAGTGGACGAGCAGGTCCAGAGAGTGGGAGTCACAGCCATCAAAGTCCCAGCTGAAGCCCAGGATGCGGCTGAGCAGCTGGGCGTCAAACTGGCTGATTTACTGCTAAGCAAAGGAGCCAAGGAGATCCTGACGGTGGCCCGGCAGCTCAACGATGCCAGATAATCCCATCCCCGTCCCCCACGCCTCCAATGGAAGGGACTGTTCAGTTTAACGCAACCTTGTTTCAAGTAAAACCACAACGTCAGTCTTGTGTAATGCTAACTTAAAGCCCACTTGATTCTTGATTGAAAAACTGTTGTGTAAACACTACTTGAACCAAAGTTGCGCTCAGAACATCAGTTTGTCAGGAGTCCCTTCTGTTCATGGGCCTTTATTTGGGTGCTAGTCTGTACTTACCTCAGTGAACCATCTCCTTAACCACACACACATCAGCCCACTGGGATGATCAGGGAGAAACACAAAACGGCCTTCAGCAACTGCATCACCAACTGCAATGAGTCCAGGACGTGTCACCATCATCCAAGTGGAACAGAAAGGAAGAGCTTATCCGCACCGCATGCATAGTCTTGATACACTTCAAGAGATGAAATGTGTTTGTCACAGTAAGCAGGAAGGAAATGTTGAGTCCAATGCTGCCCATATCAGAACTGGAGAGTGAGGCTGGGATCTGCACATTTCTGCACTGAACCGGACATTTCAACGCTCGAACCTGTAGCTTCAGAACTGTTCCCGCAGTTCAGTTTTCTGTTCTTTACAACCAGAGATGTTTTTAAGTTTTACTTACAATGTGAAAAATGTTTGCATAAATAGAAAACGGCTGGCAAGAGCACGTGATTAGCACTGTGTTCGCACAAACATTTAAATGTGTGTGTGTGTCTGTTATTTCAGCCTCATACGTGAGGCTCAGGCTGCTCCGAGGGCCTGGTCCGCTCACAGCGAAGCTATTTTCATATAAATGTGAGACTAGAATTATTTCCTTATAATTATCAAACTGCTTTTTACAAAAATCACAAAGCAGCAATCATTTGGCGTGTTGCTGAAAACTACGCTATAACCTTTAAATTAATATGACATATTTATTGATATATTTTTTATGCATAGACTTGGACCAAAATGAAACAAACAATTGCTAAATTTTGAAAAACTACCAGGGAAAAACATCTTTTTTTTATGCTCTACAGAACAACATTGTGCCTATCTGTTTCTGTACCTGGCCTGTAGTTGCTGCCAGGCAACAGGACTAGTGCTCTGTCCTGTTTTTAGTTTATGACTTCCTGTACTTTTTTATCATCACAAAATATTCCCAAACAGCAGAAATTGTCTCGGAAACTAGGGTTTTTTTGTTTTTTCAGCCAGCTGACTGGCAGTGAGCAGCAGCAGGTGGATTAAGGATGATGATGGTCCTAATGGTCCTAAAGGAACCTTATTGTTCCTTGATAAGGAACCCACCCTACCATCTAAATGATCCAAAATCAAAAGGAAATGTATTTTCTAGTATATATATATATTCACTTTATCAATCCTCATATCTGATCTAAAGATACGTGCAGACATTTATAGATCAGTGAGAACAGTAGGCCTGTCTTCTCATTGATTTATCCATAAATGTGAATCTGTACCAGAAACATCTGTGCGGTGGTTCCGATGTTTGTAACGTTAACAGCAGTGCGAGCAGCTACCGTAACTACTGTTGTTGCGCGCAACCCGCTCACTCGCGCTTTCTACTTTCCGACTACCGTAATAACGATCTTGAGGACACTTTTTGTCTCATTCATAAAAAGCTCAAATCTGGGACTTTTCCGGGGTCGGCTTCAGCCGGGGAGAGGTCCGCTAACACGGGGACTGTCCCCGGAAATCGAGCTCGTCTGGTGACCCTACTGCGCAGTAAATCACGAGCCAAACAACGAATGTGGTCAGCTATTAATCAAATGGCTTCTGCTCAGTGCGGAGAGCGAAATTCTGCCCGTCACGTCACTGGAGGGCAAATATCAAACAAACAGGAAGTGACGTGTCTCCTGTATGTCAAGCCCAAAAGGCACAGACCGCACGGGAACCTTTTTTCTTTTTTTTTTTTGAAAGCAGGAATGTTTTAACCATGTGTGCCTCACATTCACACGGAAAATAGATTTTTGGGTGTCCCTCAACTCTTTGTGTTTTTAATTGTGTTTGAGAATGAAAGTTTCACCTTGACTTGGGCTGTGAAAAAAACTCTTTAAATGGTAACGTGTGTTGAGAATGTAAGTTTGGTTAGCAGAACTTTAGAGACAGTCAACCTTTGTGCATATGACATATCAGATCAAGCATGAACATTTTGAGTAGATTCAAAGTTAAACTTAGATAAAGATCCAAACTAAAACAACTGCTGGCTCTCTGAACTTACAGAGATTACTAAGGAGGGTCTTCAGACAGGCGGGGGTTTACTCCCTTCAGCACAGGGACTCTGTCTCTTATCAGGATCAGTAAATTCTTTGGTGTTTGTTTAAGAGTTCAGTAAAACACTACAACCTTTAAGAAAAGTCTTCTACAAGTATAATCAAATGTATTAAGATAGTTCCTTTAAACATTAACAGCATGTTCTGAATTAGTTAGTTTCTAACCATACTATTTGCATGCCTTTTATATTACTGAAATACAATAGGATTAGGAAACTATTTTACTTCTAAAATATTTCAGGTATTCTAAAAGAGCTTTTCTAAAAGCAGACAACCCTGCAGGTTTTAGATCCAAACTCATAGTTATTATTTAGCATTAAATTTTTGTACCAGTTTGTTTAAAATAGAAATCAGTTTCTTGTTGAATCATTGAGACAGAAAAACCACCAGGTCTAGTTGCAGGTTATAAATTCTGGTCTGGAATGTTTAAATGGGAGACTGGTACGGGGAGACTCCGTTTGAGAACGACCTTTGTTCTCTCCATATATTTGCCTTTGGATTTTAACAGGTCTCAAGCAGGGTAATAAAATTAACATTAAACAGCCCTACAAGGGGAGGACACACCTTCTAATGCATATATTTAAATTAAGGGAATACACATCCTTATAAAGAGGTCTGTTTTACAGCAGAAGATCGAATTGCTTTGTTTGAGCCCAAGTGAGCAATTCCCAAAAATGTATTTTTGTCTTTCCTTTTCAACTCGTTGCAGGTAATTCTATGTTTTGTTATGTGTTGGACTTCTTGATGATCTGGGTGTAATGCTGACGTAACATTCTGTATGCATTGAATTTTCTGATAAATCTCTAGATATATCTGAAGTCTGATGTCGAATGGTTGTTTCTTTATTATTTCCCTGCACATGCAAAGTCCCTGGATCTGGGAAACTACAGGAAAATTAGCGAGCAAAGTGAAGTTATTCCTCTAGGTTTTAACATGCTAACCTGACCTTCAACTCCAAACTCACCATGTTCCATGGTAATGTACCATTCATAGGCACTTTGGTGGCACCAAAGTGCCACCCATTGATCCAGAGGGAAAATAGCATTTTAGAGTACTCTCTGCACTTCCATGGGAATGAAAATATTTTCTGGAAATTATTCCGTGTCTAGTGAAACAAGTAGCTAATCTGAATCATTCTCACATGAAGGAAAGATAACAGACAAGGTACTTTACTTTGTTTTCTTGAAACAAATCAGTTTTCATTTTAATGAACCTCTCACCCAGTCAAACTGCAGTTTTCCATACTGCGTCTTCCCACATTTTTGTGAGGTGATGAAGTTTTGTTGAGAAGACAAAGCAACCACTTGGCTGAAGGAACATTGGGCTGGCTCTGTGCTGATTTTCAATTGGACCTCCTGCACTACCCTTAGGGATGGTTCAGCTTGACCCAGTCCCATCGTTGCTTTTGGCTGTTGGGATTTAGGCTCCTGTTTTTGCACTTTTGCGGGATGGCATGGGAAATGTCCTGTTTCAGTGCTGCAAACAGCCTTTCGCTGGGTTGGCACGGAGAGACTCCTGGGGATTCTCTGCAGTAAACCATGTTTTTGTAAATTGACATGGGGAGGCTCCTGTGGATGCTCTGCAGCAAACAGCACTTTGGGAAGTTTGAATGGGTAGGCTCCTGTGTAGGCTGTCCAGAAAAGTGACTTTGGGGGGGTTGGTTCTTTGCTGCCTTTCAATTGACTCTTCTTTGCCACTCTTAGATCCTTAACCACTCTTAGCTCCCTAAGGTTGGCGTAAGCTGGGCCCCTTTGTAGAATGGACATGGTTATTATAGGTAGGGATGTACAGGGAGGCTTCTGTGGATACTTTGCAGCAAACTGCCCTTCAGTGAGTTGTAACAAAGAGACTCCTCTGTATGCTGAACCTCTTATGTATGGTGAAGCTCCTGTGTATGGGGGAGCTCCTGGGTATGGGGGAGCTCCTGTGTACGGGGGAGCTCCTGGGTACGGGGGAGCTCCTGTGTACGGGGGAGCTCCTGTGTACGGGGGAGCTCCTGGGTATGGGGGAGCTCCTGTGTACGGGGGAGCTCCTGGGTATGGGGGAGCTCCTGTGTATGGGGGAGCTCCTGGGTATGGGGGAGCTCCTGTGTATGGGAGGACTCCTGGGACTTCTGTGTATGGAGCAGCTCCTGTATGAGAGGAATCTTCTGTGAATGGGGGAGCTCCTGGGTATGGGGGAGCTCCTGGGTATGGGAGGACTCCTGGGACTCCTGTGTATGGAGCAGCTCCTGTATGTGAAGAATCTTCTGTGAATGGGGGAGTTCCTATATGTGTAGGAGCTCCTGCAAAGCCGGGGGGTCCTGTGGATTGGGCAGCTTCTGGGGGTAGGGGAGCTCCTGTATAAGGGAATGGGCCTGTGTAAGGGGCAGCTCCTGTGTATGGTGTAGCTCCTGCATATGGGGAAACTCCTGTATAGGAGGAGGCTCCTGTGGATGGGGCAGTTCCTGGGAATGGGGGAGCTCCTGTATAAGGGAATGGCCCTGTGTAAGGAGCAGCTCCTGTGTACGGTGGAGTTCCTGCATATGGGGGTGCTCCTGTGGATTGGGCAGTTCCTGCATATGGAGGGGCTCCTGTGGATTGGGCAGTTCCTGCATATGGAGGGGCTCCTGTGGATTGGGCAGCTCCTGTGTATGGTGGAACTCCTGTACAAGGGAATGGCCCTGTGTAAGGGGCAGCTCTTGTGTATGGTGTAGCTCCTGCGTATGGGGGAGCTCCTGAAAATGGAGGAACTCCTGTATAGGAGAGGGCTCCTGTGGATGGGGCAGTTCCTGGGGATGGGGGAGCTCCTGTATAAGGGAATGGCCCTGTATAAGGGGCAGCTCCTGTGTATGGTGGAGCTCCTGCATATGGTGTAGCTCCTTTGTCTGGGGTAACTCCCGCATATGAGGGGGGTCCTGTGGATGGGGCAGCTCCTGTGGGTGGGGAAGCCCCTGTGTATGGTGCAGCTCCTATGTATGGAAGAGCCCCTGCATGTGAGGACTCATCTGTGGATGGGGAGACTCCTGTGTGTGGGACACCTCCTTTGTGTGGGATACCTCCTGTGTGTGGGATACCCCCTGTGTGTGGGGTACCTCCTGTATATGGGGAAACTCCTGTATATGAGGGGAGCCCAGTGGAGGGGGCAGCGCCCATAAGTGGGGTACCTCCTGTATATGGGGGGAGCCCTGTGGAGGGGGCAGCTCCCATAAGTGGGGTACCTCCTGTATATGGGGGAACTCCTATATATGAGGGTAGCCCTGTGGATGGGGCAGCTTCCGTGTGTGGGGTACCTCCTGTATATGGGGGAACTCCTGTATATGAGGGGAGTCCTGTGGATGGGGCAGCTCCCGTGTGTGGGGTACCTCCTGTATATGGGGGAACTCCTGTATGTGAGGGGAGTCCTGTGGATGGGGCAGCTCCCATGTGTGGGGTACCTCCTGTATATGGGGGAACTCCTGTATGTGAGGGGAGTCCTGTGGATGGGGAAGCTCCTGTGTGTGGGGTACCACCTGTATATGGGGGAACTCCTGTATATGAGGAGAGCCCTGTGGAGGGGGCAGCTCCCGTGTGTGGGGTACCTCCTGTATATGGGGGAACTCCTGTATGTGAGGGGAGTCCTGTGGATGGGGCAGCTCCCATGTGTGGGGTATCTCCTGTATATGGGAGAACTTCTGTATACAAGGGGAGCCCTGTGGATGGGGCAGCTCCCGTGTGTGGGGTACCTCCTGTATATGAGGGGGTTCCTGTGGATTGGGCAGTTCCCACATGTGGGGGAGCTCCTGCGTATGAGATAGCTCCTGTGTGTGGGACACCTCCTGTTTGTGGGATACCTCCTTCATATGAGGGGAGCCCTGTGGATGGGGCAGCTCCCATGTGTGGTGGAGCTCCTGCGGATGGTGTAGCTCCTGTGAGTGGGACACCTCCTGTGTGTGGGATACCTCCTTCATATGAGGGGAGCCCTGTGATTGGGACAGCTCCTGTGTGTGGGGAAGCTCCTGTATATCGGGGAACTCCCGTATATGAAGGGGGCCCTGTGGATGGTGCAGCTCCTATGTATGGTGGAGCTCCTGTATATGAGGAATCATCTGTGGATGGGGAAGCTCCTATGTATGGTGGAGCTCCTGTGTGTGGGGTACCTCCTGAATATGGGGGAACTCCTGTATATGAAGGGGGCCCTGTGGAGGGGACAGCTCCTGTTTGTTGGGGAGCTCCTGTGTATGGTGGAGCTCCTATGTATGGGGTAACTCCTGTATATGGGGGAACTCCTGTATATGAGGGGGGCCCTGTGGATGGGGCAGCTCCTGTTTGTTGGGGAGCTCCTGCATATGGAGTGGATCCTGCATATTGAGAGGCTCCTGTTGATTCTCCATATAAATGTGGTCTTTGGTGGGTTGGCTCTGTGCTCTTTTCCAATTCAATCTCCTGCCCCACCCTTAAGGCCGCTTCAGATTGATCCATTTGGAGCATGGGGGTGGAAGGTTGGGATGCATGGGTAAAAGCCTGTGGATGCTCTCCGGAAAGCTGCTCTGTGGTATGTTGTTGTTGGGTTGGCTCTGTTGTCTTTGTCAAATCAAACAACTGTGCCAAACTTAGTCGAGGCTGTAGAACAACAGATTTGACTTTGAATGATTCTAATAGACTGGGAGGTTCGCCTGAATGAACTGGAGCAAACTTCTCTTCAGTAGGTTGTCGGTAGGTTAACTCTGTGCTCTTTTTCAATTGAATCTTCTGTTTCACCCCTTGGGATTCTTTAGTTTGATCCTGTTGGAGCTCAGGGGTAATTAGTGAAGGCTGAGATGCACCAGCAGACTCCTGTTGATGCTCTGCTGCAAACTGCCCTTTGGTGGGTTGTCGGTAGGTTGGCTCTGTGCTCTTTTTCAATTGGCTCTCCAGTTTCAATTTTTGGTGCTTGGGAGTGGTTTCTGAGGGTCGGGATGCACCCTCAGAAACCACAGACTGCTGTGGATGCTCTGGAGCAAACTGCTCTTTGGCAGGTTGCTGGTGGGTTGGCTCTGTGCTCTTTTTCAATTGGGTCTTCTGTTTCACCCTTTGGGATTCTTCAGCTTTGCCCTGTTGGAGCTCAGGGGTTATTACTGAAGGCTCAGATGCACCAGCAGACTCCTGTTGATGCTCTGCTGCAAATTGTCTTTTGGTGGGTTGTTGGCGAGTTGGCTCTGTGCTTTTTTTTAATTCAATCTCCTGATTCTCCTGTTGGGATTCTTCAGCTTTACCCCGTTGGAGCTCAGGGATGGGTACTGAAGGCTTAGAGGCACTAGGAGACTCCTGTGGATGTTCTGCTGCAAACTGCTCTTCGGTGAGTTGTTGGCGAGTTGACTCTGTGCTCTTTTTCAATTCAATTGCCTCCATCTCCTGTTGGGATTCTTCAGCTTGTCCCTGTTGGAAGATGGGGATATTTGCAATGGAAGCCCCCTCTGGATATTCCACAGAAAACCGCCTTTGTGCCCGTGAAGAACGGAAACCCTTGAGAGAAATCATTTTGTACAGGTTCTTCCTCCAATCAGGAAGGGGGCTTTGGTCAGCGATAGTGCCGAGGGATACAGAAGGAGGAAGAATGTTATCACCAGTGCCTGAAGGACTTTCAGGTTGGACTTTGAACTCCTTTCGGGATGTAGGGGTCAATGGACCAGTAGATCGACGTTTGCCTCTGATAGGCCTGGTCATTCTATTTAATCCTGCAGATAAATGAGCAAGTGGCAATTGCAGTGCCTTCATAAGACCCAGGTTTCTCTTTCCAGTGGTAGACTTTCTCTTTTTAAAACTAATCCTTCTTCCTCTACCACCAAGGCTTCTCCTTCCAAGAGACTTTCTCTTTTGAGAACTAACTTTTCTTCTTCCAGAACTAGACTTAGATCTTTTCCTTCGAGGAGACACTGTTTCTCTCTGTTTTCTAAAGAGTGACAAAGCCTTTTCACTAAGCGCCATCTCGTATTGGTACATGTCATATTTATCAGTGAGCTTCAACTTTAGCAGACGAACTTCATCTTGAGGCTCTTCGAAGGTAACCTTCCGTTTGAATGTATCCTCTGGAGTTGCTGGAGGAGTCTCCAGTAAAGCAGTTTCGGTGGTACTGATCAGTGTTTGATCATCTAAAGCTACATGAAAAACAAAGGAGGTGAATTGTTACTTCAAACTGTCCAGGGCTCATGAATATCATCACACATTTACAAATATATAAATACTAATGGCACACATTTGCAGAAATATAAATTGAAATCAATCATCCCTGTCAAATAAATTCATAAATCTCAAACAAATCACAGTTTGCAAATACACTCAGGGACAGACGCCATAGCTTTTGAAGACATGTCCTGTGATTTGATGAAACTAAAGCTCAAATGTTTATTGCTATGGTCAAAGTTACATTTGAAGAAAAAGTGAGAAAACTGCAGTCCCTAAGAAGTCCATCCCAACTGTGAGTTAATGAAGAGCTCTGCACCACTTCCTCCTGTTACTCTGTATAGAGGAACTCCTGTGTATGGAATACTTCATAAATAGATGAAAATGATGTGGAAATATTGAATGAACATCTCAAGACGTCAGACAGGAATTTAAAGCTGCGGCACATATGGCCTTCTAAATGGACTTTAACCAGTAACATATGGCCTAACTTGTTATGAAGTGATTTAGGGGAAATAGTTGATGTTTTAGAGAATTGTTAATTAGCTTCAGGTATAAATGTAACAGTGTCTAGTGTTAATTGGCAGCATGTTGGAACACGATGCTTTGTGTAAGGATGTGAACAATAATTTTATTTTAAATGTGAACAAAGCAAAGGAGATGATTGTTGATTTCAGGAGGAACAGGATTATCAGACCCTATTTCCATCGTGGGAGAAGACGTAGAGGTGGTTGAGGAATATAAATACCTCTGTGTTCATGTTGACAACAGACTGGACTGGAGACGCAACAGTGAAGCGTCCATAAGAAGGGACAGAGCAGACTGTACTTCTTGAGGAAGCTAAGATCCTTCAAGGTTTGCAGTGAGGTGCTGCAGATCTTCTACAAATCTGTTGCTGAGAGCGTCATCTCTTCTGCCGTCATCTGTTGGGGCAGCAGCATCAGAACCAGGGACCTGAGAAGGCTCAACAACCTGATAAAGGAGGCTGGTTTTGTGGGACCTCTGGAGATGACGATGCAAAGAAGCATTCTTCATCGGATCAAGAAATTATAGACAACCCTGGCCATCCTCTGACGGTCTCAAGAAGAGGACAGTCATGAGAGAGTTTTCCCAGGCATTTTGAGAAGGTCTCATCTGCCTTCCCAGAATTCCTGTCTTGGGAAGGCATCTTCAGTCACAGGCTTCTTCAGATTCAGTGCAGTGCAGTCTACTACAGGAAATCCATCTTCAATGGATCTTTAAAGAATCTAAATTATTGAGTTACAACAACATTTAATTTTCCTTTGGGATAAATAAAGTATTTTTGAATTTGAATGACAGGGCATTGCATTTGAAGTATTCCTTACTTCCCAATATGTTCTGAGAAGGGAACATTTTGCAGCTCATTATAAGTTAGTCAGCTGTTCTTTTGAATGCTGTGCTTCAAAAGAACAGCCATGATGGCCGCATGAAGGGCTCTCGTATGTCACCTTGCTCTGAGATGTCAGCATCCACATAGTCAACAGGCTGCGCCTCTGCAAAAAATACAAAAACAGTGTAAATGTTTGTATTGTATGGAATCAGACATTTTCACACACATGAGCATTAATTCTTTGCACCTCCAGGTATGGTGTCAAATTGTTGGCTTGCTAAATCGAACATGGAGTCAGATTGAAGTGGATGTTGGACACCTTCACCAAACCCAAGTTGAACGTCTTCACCAACTCCAAGTTGAACGTCTTCACCAACTCCAAGTTGAACGTCTTCACCAACTCCAAGTTGAACGTCTTCACTAACCCGAAGTTGAACGTCTTCACTAACCCGAAGTTGAACGTCTTCACTAACCCGAAGTTGAACGTCTTCACCAAAACCAAGCTGAACGTCTTCACCCAGCCCTGAACTGTCCTTCAGATCTTCCTTTGACGTAGGAGGTCCGCCCTCTTCAATTTCTGCTTTGGAAGATCTATCACACACAAACACCTAGACTGTATAGTAGTTACATTTGAGCACATTTGTGGATTTAAAGTCATATTTGTCTTTAATTGCTTACCTGTCTTTTCTTTTTCGACCTGACTTCTGAGACAGCAGATTTCTGGAAGTTTTCAGACTCCTCCTTGGCTCCATGTCAGGCAACTGCCCAAACTCAAACTCCTTTCTCTTCGGACTTACTTTTGGTTTCATTGAAACCTTTCTTCCAGTGAGTGCTTTTCCTCGCGCTCTGCTTGATTTCCGCAACGTGGGTTTTAGTAGCTTCTTCTTTTCAATCTCAGCAGAAATATCGACCTTGTCAACATCAAAATAAGAGTAGAAGACCCTGTCAGCAGATGCATCCTCTTCATCGCTCAGTTCGATGTCCTGGAACAGATTGCCAGAAAACAAGTCGTCCCAGAAGTCTTCCCCAGTGTGACGTTTTCGTTTCTTCCTCCAGCTCCTGATTATAGAGTTGGGGATGTAGCAGTCTGGAGCCGTGGGCCATCCCCAGCAGCCCTCCAGGTCGTCTTCAGCAGTGTCCATCATGACGTGGTATTCGGCTGTGTCTCAAAGTTCAAACTTTTTTATGTTGCTGAAACCACAGAACACATCAGCATGGTGCTGTTAAAGCTACGGTAGAGTGTGAGGCAGATATCTGACAAAACAAAAATGTAACAATGTAACAGTAGTGTCAATTTAGAAATTCGGTAATCTTGGGATTACAGCAACAAAAATATTTTTTTTCTTGGGCTCCCTCCACAGATTCTCTATGGGGTTTCAAAATTATTTTCATTTTGGGCCATATCAAGGTCACAGATATTCTTAAGGGTTGGTTGTAGAAGAATGTATTCATAAAACCACCCATTAATAAACTCTTAATATATAAAGGTTAGCATTATGTGTTTTATATACACATAGAGCACAATAAAGGCAATAAAGTAACTATTGCCTTCAGTTGTTATACAAAATACAATATAATTCAAATATGACTTAAAAATACTTTGTATTTTAATCCCTTGAAATTGGGCCTCTGTCTCTTTAAAAACGCCTGCCCTTTCTGAAACTCCGCCCACAGGAAGTCATCACAACATAATAGAGGTCAAAGGTTCCTCTGTTTTAAGCTTTTACCAGCGTTTCACTGAGAAGTAGCTGGTATGGTGAACTCAGCAACAACTAGCAGGTGTTTGCTATTTGCTGCTGGCTAGTCTAAAGGAGCTGAGGAGTTGCAGGCGCTGGTTGCAATGTCAGGTGTTCAGACAACACAGGCGTTTTGCACAGCTGAATGGTTGCCATGGGAGAATAAGGGATTTTTCAAACATTCATAAAACAGTCAAGGCAAAACTCCAGGTGTGTTTTGGATGAGGAGATAACATAACAGGATGTAAAGCTCAAACAAGTCGATTTTATGGAATGCCGACCCTGTAATTAATAATTGTTTCTACTTTTGATGAGTACATCTTTTCACACTGATGTAATATGATTAAATCAAATCAAACTGATTTAATTTTTTATGACAGCAGCTTTTAGCACTTTGTATTACCTTGTTGCTGAAAATGTGCTATATAAATAAATAGCTGGGAGAAACGGAGTGGGAAGACAGAGCTCCTTTAACAAGTCAGTCATCTGAGGAAAAATATATCTGACTTGTCTTGTTATGATGAGAAACTGTCACGTTTTAAAGAGATACTGCTCCAGTATTCATGTCCTATTTCTGGCAGTTAAAAGCTTCCGTATAAATCTGTTTTTCTCACACCGAGTCAGTGTCAGTGTTTTTCTTTTAAGGCTTCGCTTAAAAGTTTCATCAGTTACTCTAACTGCACATGTCAGCAGTTTGCCTCGCGTGGCATGAATAACAACAGTGACAGCTGAGAGGAAGTGGAGCTTTCCCTAATGTCCCCAAAGACATTTTTAATTTAAACAGTTAAACAGTCTGTGGAGAAACATATCTCTTCTACTACAAAATTCCTGAAGAAATTTAACCGGGTCCTGCCAAAGTGTGACCGTCGGTTTGGACCCAGCGTTCTTAGCAAAAAAAAATGTGAATAACATGGACTTGAACCATGTTAGTAATTTTATGCTAATTTGACAAATATGTTCATTTTAGCGTGAATACTGTCAGCAGCATGTGGACCACCACTAGCATGCTGTGTATAATTGACTTACTCCATTCAATATACTAAACATGGCTAACAAGTAAGAGAAATAGATAATACCTTATTTATGATAAAAGGGCCCTAACCTGAGATAATGATACTATTTATCATCTCACAATCAGAAATTCTGTGTATCTTATTGGTCAAAAGCAACAAGAAACAAACACATAACTCATGTTCAAAAGAATTACTACTAATAATCTCCCGGCCAAAAATGGGAGACTTGACAAGGCGTTTTTGCCCTATGATGTCACTGACATGATGTCACTGACATGATGTCACTGAATGACGGCGTCACAAAGGCTTTGACAGGTTTTGAGTCGCTGTCTCCTTCAGTGACTCCTCACAAGCAAACACAAGTTCAAAGAGTTCTCACACTGGAATCGTGTCGTGCAGACTTGTAGCGAGAAGATGAACATAAAACGAATATTTTTTAAATGTTCCGATGTTCCTGACCCGATGGAGAAGGTACTGGAAGGGAAAAAGCTGAAGTTGTTTGGCAGCAAACCTGGAGCTCAGGCTGCTGATCGACTGAGGGGCTTTGAAAGCTTTGGAGCAGCTCGGCTAAGAGGAAACTGCGCTCATCCACAAGATGGTCGACAGGATGGCAGAAGGTCTCACAATGCCAAGGAAATTTGCAACAACGTCAAAGAAGCGGAGCAGCATGTGCAGCAAAGTTCTCGTCAAGCAGAAGAAGACACACAGCAGCTCGCAGCTAAAGAACCTGCTGAAAACAAAGGATGAACACGTCAGCACCAATGATCGAGCTGCTGCAGGAACAAATGAAGAAGGCCTTTAAAGGCTTTGAGAACAGTCTGCTGGAAAAAGCTGTGTACGGCAGAAGTTACGGGATATGTCACGTCGTTTCTTGTGGTGGTTGTTACAGGCTTGATGATAATGCTATAGCAGTTCGGTTTGAGAGCTGAACTGTTACAGCATTAGTTCAAACCAACTGATAACTCAGTGGTTCAGCTGTTGGGAACAGATTTGCTGAAGAGGCTCTAAAACTGGTGGCTGCTGATTAACTGCAAGTCCGTCTTTAACTGCTCCGATGTGACAGAGAAAAGCTCACACAGTTGCTCAGAACTGGACAATCAGTTGAAAACAAAGGATGGATGTCTCAGAGCCAAGATGTACAGAGGAAAATGTGATTGTGCTTTTCTTTGTTACTTCCACTTCTTGTCGTGATTTGCATGTTTAGATTGTTTTGGGTTTGTTGTTTTTCCTCTGGACTGTCGACCAGAAACGGCATCGTAAGCAGAGACCAACCTGTGGCTTCTAACTGATGACTTTTATTGAAGGGCAATTATTGAACCCTGGATTTTATGGAGACAAGAGGACGGTTTTAAAGTGACTCCCTTGTAATAAACTACATTGACTGCTTCTCTGTTTGGTTTTTGGAGTTGTTTGCTCCCCTTGGACCCGAGACAGATTGTGGGGTCATATGAGTCACAGTTTGAGTTCTCAAACTAAACTGTTACAGCATTGGTTCAACTACCTGATAACTCAGTAGTTCAACTGTTGGGGACAGATTTGTTGGGTTAGTTCAACAGTTGAACTAACCCTAAAACTGATATAAAATTTTATATCAGTTTTAACTGATTAACTGTAAGTCTGTCTTTAACTGTTCCGATGTTGCAGAGTCTAGATGTTAAAGTAGAACTCAAACAACTTGAGAAACTGATTGATTTCTCAAATCAATCAGTCCTGATGGACGTGATCTGCAGCTCTCCCTGGATCAGTTTGCAGCCAAGTGTGAAGCGGCCAGGGTGAGGATCAGTGCCTCCAAGTCCGAGGCCTTAGTGATGAGCCGGAAAAGGCATGAAGAGTGTCTCCTCCAGGTCCAGGGGTGTATTGTGCCTTCTCCAGGTCCAGGTCAAGGGGCGTGTCGTGCCTTCTCCAGGTCCAGGGGCGTATCGTGCCTTCTCCAGGTCCAGGTCAAGGGGCATATCATGCCTTCTCCAGGTCCAGGTCCAGGGGCGTATCGTGCCTTCTCCAGGTCCAGGTCAAGGGGCGTATCATGCCTTCTCCAGGTCAAGGGGCGTATCGTGCCTTCTCCAGGTCCAGGTCAAGGGGCGTATCATGCCTTCTCCAGGTCCAGGTCCAGGGGCGTATCGTGCCTTCTCCAGGTCCAGGTCAAGGGGCGTATCATGCCTTCTCCAGGTCAAGGGGCGTATCGTGCCTTCTCCAGGTCCAGGTCAAGGGGCGTATCGTGCCTTCTCCAGGTCCAGGTCAAGGGGCATATCATGCCTTCTCCAGGTCCAGGTCCAGGGGCGTATCGTGCCTTCTCCAGGTCCAGGTCAAGGGGCGTATCGTGCCTTCTCCAGGTCCAGGGGCGTATCGTGCCTTCTCCAGGTCCAGGGGTGTATCGTGCCTTCTCCAGGTCCAGGGGTGTATTGTGCCTTCTCCAGGTCCAGGTCAAGGGGTGTATCGTGCCTTCTCCAGGTCCAGGTCAAGGGGTGTATCGTGCCTTCTCCAGGTCCAGGGGTGTATCGTGCCTTCTCCAGGTCCAGGGGCGTGTCGTGCCTTCTCCAGGTCCAGGTCAAGGGGCGTGTCGTGCCTTCTCCAGGTCCAGTTCAAGGGGCGTGTCGTGCCTTCTCCAGGTCCAGGTCAAGGGGCGTGTCGTGCCTTCTCCAGGTCCAGGTCAAGGGGCGTGTCGTGCCTTCTCCAGGTCCAGGTCAAGGGGCGTGTCGTGCCTTCTCCAGGTCCAGGTCAAGGGGCGTGTCTTGCCTTCTCCAGGTCCAGGTCCAGGTCAAGGGGCGTGTCGTGCTTTCTCCGGGTCCAGGGGTGTATTGCGCCTTCTCCAGGTCCAGGGTTGTGTCGTGCCTTCTCCAGGACTAGGTCCAGCTGCGTGTCTTGCCTTCTCCAAGTCCAGGTCCTGCCCCAAGTGGAGGAGTTCAAGTGTCTTGGGATCTTGTTCACGAATGAGGGAGAAGGGAGCCGGACATCGACAGGGGATTAGCGCAGCGTCTGCCGTGAAGTGGGAGTTGTACCGATCCGTCATGGTGAAGAGAGAGCTGAGCCAAAAAAGTGAAGCTCTGCGGGGAATCCCTGGGCTGTTGGAATGTTTGACACATCGAGCGCATCCAACACTCCACATAGACTTTGAATATAAACCAGAATCGCCTGACGCTCAAAATGTGTTTGATGTGAATGCATCATTAGAATGTTCAGCTTCAATGGTAACAATGACATCAGCAGTGATGACATCACTCTTTGATGCACCAAATGTAGCACACAGACTGTTTTTTCAAACCTCTTCCTGTTTCAGACTTAGAAGTTATAAGTTATGAATTGTTAAAATGATTTGAAGACACAGAATCAGCCCAGTTCAGATTCACATTCTCAGGTTAGAGAGACTCGTCTGGTAAGCAAACTTTTTGGTACTGAAATTTATGAATTTAATCAAAGTATGTTATGAATATGTGTGCATTTACGCCATCTTAAGTCCAGCACTAGATTTTTTGTTGCTTTTGCCACCACTATATGATATGCATGTAAGATATAACAAGCAGCGCTATTCAGAGATGCAATGAGTTTTATATCAGTTGTTCCACCATGTTTGTATTCTTACATTTTGCCATCATTGTAGTTCTAAAGAGCAGATCAGAGGGAGACAAAATTCTGTCTGTTTTGTGTCAGTTAGTCTTTTGTTTTGACTTGAATTTGGCTCATTTGTTGTTAATTATGTTGCCACAGTTACTCAAAATACCAACAAAAGTAATATCTCCCCTCACGGGATTGAGCTGCAGGTTTTGATTTATATAGCCTATTGTTAGGGGGCACGCAGCGGTACGGGCCACATTAACGGTAGTAGGAAGAGACAGTTAACTTGAGGTGATGAACAAATGCCATACATTTCTATGGCAGGCCCCAATTAACTTTCCATTGGCATAATTTATAATAAAGCTAGCTGTTAGTGGTTATTTTTTCCCTTTTCTTTTTCAACCAATGAAGCAATATTTTTTAAAACTATAACTTCAAATATCTTTGTAATTCTTTTGCGTTCTGTTTAATTGTTACAATGACATCCAGACATTTAATTTGACCTTGTGAATAATTAGAGCAGTTCTTCCTGCAGATGTTTGGACCTACCTGCTCCCTCTCAGCCCGGCAGACGTCCTCCTGTCTGTTGCCCTCCACCTTCATTTTGAATAAAAACATCAGTTATCAGTTCAGTGACAGTTGAAGGCATTTATTTTTATTTTATTGGCTTGGATTTCTACTTACTTTTGAAACTGTAGCCTGTCTGATGTGGAAAATAAAGCCACCCATTCAATAAGGTGCATTGTCATTTTTTTCCTCAAGCTTTTTAACATTTTGTCACATTATGACCACAAATGTGTTTAATGGCTTGAAATCAGGAAGCGAGTCTGTGTTTTTCAGTATCCAAAGAATGACGTTCTCTTTTATTTAAAAGTTGGACGTGAATACATTTATAATTGTAACAGAAGCAAGAGCAGAAACATCCAGACTAGAAAAGACAAAGCTGTCCGGCTGCTGAATTACTTAGATGAAAACTGCAAATGAACAATAGATAGCCTTCTCTTTTAAAAGTTATTGCCGAGAAAAGAATGTTGCTTGTTTTCATAGCGTCTGAACCAAAAGTACTATTTAAAAACCAAATGGAGATTGTCTCAAAACAACAACAAAAAAACACATATGCTGGCCCTACTTCCTTCCCCCAGACATCTTTGCATGAAAATATGGAAGCTTTTTAAAAAAGTAGCCATTTCTCCTTGATAGCTGCGTGTTTGCAAAAGAAAAAAAAAAAAAGTCGTAAACTGCACACACACACGTTTCATTTTAAATTACATACTGACATATATTTTGGCTTGAAAAGGTGGAACTTTAACTTATATGCTGTACACATTTGATATGTTCAGACAATAAATAAGAAATGCAGAAAAAATATGGCTTCTTCCACCAAGTCTCCCTCACATGGCTCTGCTCTGCTTTTTCTTCTCCTGCTGGGATAAATGAATGTTCCTCTTTTTAACGGAACATTCTCCGTTATGTCTCCGTTATTTAGTCAGGGAAAACAGCTAACGTAAGAAAAAACCCGGGGCACAAACCAAACTGGCTCTCAGTCTGACGCCACTCTGACAATCTATTCACATTTCTACAAAATCACAGTTATATGGCATCTTTCTGCAACAGGTAGGCAAACTATAACATGCATTTTCATTGACCATATAATTGGGCAATTTGAAAAAAAAAAGTTTTGCGCTCGGATGAGGTGGATTTTTTTTGGCCATTTCCAAATTGTTTTATTGCAATGGCAACATTTTTTTTCACATCACGAGTCACCTGAACCACAACAGAGATGTTGCCACTGGCAGAAATGGCGAAGAAGACGACAGGAAGTTGCAGGAGGATCATGGCACTGGATTTTTTTTAAAGACATTGCATGAACAGACTATGTGTGATTTTAAATGTGTTTCTTATTTGATGGAAACATTGTGATTGTGAAGTTGTATTTTTTTCAACGTCAGCTTAGAAAAATGTAAGGAATCCCTTTTTGTGGAGATAAAAACACCAGCGGTGATGAGCGTCGCTCAAACTAACACTTAACATCCGTTTCCAACTGCCTGATCAGGTTCCACATAAAAAACCAGTGAAGCGATCCATGGATCCGGTTTGTGAAAGACCATAATGACACAACATTACAAAATCTCATGGTACATTATTCTGACTCTCTGTCTGCACCTATGAGGATTCTCTAACTTTGACAGAACGTGGTTAGCTTGATGGGGAAAGTTAATTACATTTGGAATTTATTGAAATGTATTCAAACCAGTGGAAAGTGCTTTTATTTTAAAACAGAAACGGACCTGAGATGTTTTTATTTAATCTGTCTGCAGTTTATTTTCCATTCTTGCTACGCTGATCGGCTTTGCAGGGCTCAACTTTGACTCTTTGATTTTACTTTTGAAACGTTCAGAAAAGAAGACCAGCATCATGTTTGGACCTCTTTCCAGTTGACGGCTCCTCTGAATGATGTCCTCCTACATTCTGTCAGGATCTGAGGAGAACCCGGGGCTCGGAGTCCAGTCTGACCAAACTCCAGCATCGCAACCAAACAATCTATTCAAGTTTCAGCCTGAAAGTTTTATTAAAAAAAAAATGTAAATGATAATCTGTTGTGAACTAGTAGCACAATGTGGCTACATAAACGACTTCGTTGTGCCTGCGGCTTTCAAAGCCGAGAAGTGAAGAACATACAGAGACGAGGGAGGAACTACAGTCAGTTGATGCAAAGCTGCAAATACCTGCGAAATGCAACACCTGAGACACTCCTTCTTAAATTCTTGCATGCAGCTACAAAGGTTCTTTTTTTTTTCTTTGTACACATTATTTTTATTTAAAAAAGAGGCTTAAAAATAAATAGAGATAAAACTGGAAGACCTTTCTCAGTACATGATTACAGCTATTCCAACCCTTTGGACAATAATCGCTGCTGGGCCAGAATCAAGATGCTACTGAATGATTGTCACTAAGTGCAACATGTGCTGTCGAAGCTGTGTGTGTGTGTGTGTGTGTGTGTGTGTGTGTGTGTGTGTGTGTGTGTGTGTGTGTGTGTGTGTGTGTTATGTATTAAATACACTGAATGTGTGGGAAAAGGCTGCGCTGCCTCCAGGGAACCCAACATGAAGACGTTCTCATGTTCTCTGCTGCAGTCCATCAGCGCTGCTGAAGGACAAACTACTGTCAGCAGCAACAGTTTGGGAGAGAACTGCTGTTTACACCATCAGGAGGGTTACAGTCTCTTTATGTGTTTTTTTTGGCATAAATAAAAAAATTAAATAAATCCCCAATCAGATGTTTGCAGAATTGAAAAACAAAATAAGAACGAGCATAAAAATCGACATTTTTCAGGAGTGTTGCGAAACGTCCACTTTGTTGTTTGATTTAGTTTCATTAAGAGAAGAAAGTTAATTATGCAACAGGAGAAACTTTATCAATTTGCAGAGATCTGACCTGAAACCACCAGCAACCAGACCCACGGCGATGAGCCTCCGCTGCATTTCAACACACACATGGACACACACACAGGGACACAATAGTCCTTTTGTTGATACGTATGTCCAGTGGTGTCCATTCTCATGGGGTGGCCAGACCCCAGGCCGGTAAAAGTGTTGGTGCGGCACGACTAACAGAGAGCAAGAAAAAAATCAAAAGCCCCCAACTGCATACTAGGAAGTTGAAGTTCAAGCTTTAATTTTAGTTCTAAGCTAGCATATTAGCCTGCTAACATGCTCTAGCATAAATCAACATGAGAAGTATTACATGAGAGAGTTTGCAATGTCGATCTGACCAAATTCAAGAGGCGGTTCCACACAGAGCGGCAGAAACCCAGACACCGTCAGACCGCCTGAGCCTGTCAGCGTCCTGAGTCGACCCACAACGCCAGCAGAGTGTGAACGTTCGCCAATCCACTGCAGGGACTGCGGCTTCTGAACAGGCTGAGAAGACAAGAGCTCCAGTCATTTTGCTGGGTTGGTTGGTTGTTGGGGGGGGTGGAAGTGGATGTGGCTCGGGGAGCTCACTGTGACCGACTCGGAGCAGGAAGGCGTCATTCTTGCAGAAGAGTCTCCTTCCAGTCGAAGGAGTGGTTTGGTCCATGAGTCAGAGGCAGGATTGGAGGATCCACTAACTGCCACATTCCCGTCTCTCCCTGTTCCTCACAGGCACAGAAGCCCAGGTAGGGGATCTGAGGACCAAACACAGCACATCCAGGTTTCTAGCATTATTCCCAGCACAGCTTTTATAACTGTAACTTAGCAGAGACTCACAGACCAGATGTGGCCAACTTCTACTGTCAGGTTCCCCTAAGACTCTATTTGTTTTGAAAACTTTCTTATATGAAGACATAGGAACAACATTTAAAATATGTCTCCCAGCATGCCGGATGGTCACTATCTATATTAATGAGGCAGTGGCCGTTAACCAGGATTTCATCATTTCAAAACAAACAGGATGCTTATGGAGTTAAAATGATGCATCACTGCGGATACGCTCTGCGGAGAGGAGCCATGACAGGAGAAAAGTGTGCTGTGGAAACCAAAATGACGTGGAGCAGACGGACCTTTCGTACAACTTGTATGAAGTCCTTGGCGTTCTGGGGGCTGCGGCCCTGCAGCTGCCGTGTGCAGGCCTCCAGGGAAGACGCGTGGGCGACGATCAGCACGTTGTTTCCTACGCAGAGCAGAAAGTCAGACATCACCACCAACGCATGAGCACCGACAACGACGGCGGCGGAGGAGCTCGGGCTACCTGTGTTTTTGCAGTCTGACAGGATGTCTTTGGTGACTTGGTAGCTGCGACTCATGTAGTTCTCGTAGGACTCGGACACAGTCAGCTTGCTGGCTGGGATCAGAGGCCTGAGCAGAGACAGACAGACTATCAGGAGAGAGAAGATCGACCCAGCGGACATTTTGCGTCTGCTTCGACAACCAACAATTTATAGCGACTTTTTAAATGTTGCTCATCATCTGCGGTGAGAAAACAACGGAGGGTTTCAGCAGCAGGGGGTTGGTTTGAACTGGTGTGTTACAAGAGTCAGCTGGTGCAAATGGGAATCAGAACCAGAACAAACACAAAGCTTTAAAATAACAACTAAATGAAATTATGTCAGATAACTGAGCAGCCATTTATTTCCATAATTTATGAAAATGCCAAGGAAAAAAACAACCAAAAAACCAAGAGTCTCCAACACAAAACAAAATACCAAAGTTTTCATCCAGAGGAACACAGTGGTGTGTTTAGCAGAAAGAAATGGGAGTTTGTGGGTTTAAAATGAAATGTGGGTTTGAGTTGGTTGAGGAGAACTGGAAATTTCTGCCCCTAGTGTTCAACTGGCATGTTTATTTTGTTGTAGTTACCCAGAATGCCCTGCACTGTAGTCCACTTTCTGCTTTTGGAGAAGTCTCGAGTCTGCTTGGAATTCACATATGGATTCAAACCGCACCAAAGTTCACTTCAACAGAACTGATACCTAGGTTTGTAGGCCAACCAAAGTTCACTCTCTTGTTCTGCTTCAGAGTTTGATTCCACATTCACACTTCGACAAACCAACCGGACCACCCCCCAAAACAAATCTTAGCTTGATTTTGTTGAGCACAAACCGAATCCTAAAGTCTGCTACAAAACCTCGAGTGTTGAACCAGGAATCTGAGTCGAGTCAGAAATCCCATTTTTGAAAAGCAACACTGACTTGACTGGAGTCTCTGTGTCAGAGCAGCACTGGACCCGTCTGTTCACCTCCAGCAAACTTTCCCTCCTCCTTTGGAACAGGGCGGTTTTAGGCTTTAAATGTGACGTGTTGTCATGGAAACGGACATCTCCCTCACCTGTAAGCCGTGTCTACGCTGAAGTTGGCAGCAGCCAGATCAGTGGGGGGGATCCACGCTGGCATGGCGTTCCCTGACACCCACTTTGTCCACTCGAAAAGACCCGGCTCCACGCGCACCTTCAGCTTCCCGTCCTGCTGCAGGCCTGCTCACACAAACACCCGGCGGTCAGGGAGGACAGGAGGGCCGTCGGAACCGACTCCCGAGCAGAACCGGCTCACCTTTCAAGATGTTCTGCGCAGTCTGAACACATCGCAGCGACGGAGAGCAGTACACAAAGTCTATCATCGTGTTGCTCTCCAACAGGGCCTCGCCTGAGAAGGCAGCACACGGTTACCTGGGATATGTTTCAAAAAGCCACGCTACTGACCACTCTTTCACTGACATACCCACTAATCGGGCCTGAGTGGACCCAAACACAGTGATGGGGGCGTCCATGTCGTAGTCTCTCTGTCCTCCCCACAGAGGCAGGCTGGGAGGCATGTTGAGGTTGGAGCGTACGTATCTGCCTGCAGAGCAACAACATGCGTTTAACCTCTGGTGTAAAGTCAGACCTGGCAGAGTTCAAAGTTTCACCTTTGCTGTCCGAGCAGAGAGTGAGCCAGTGTTTCCCAAACACCACGTCCATCCTCTCACCGTGCCGGCACACGAACACCGTGCGTTTGGGCTGCCGAGTGTGGCTGCCGCTGAACCGCAGGACCTGCTGCAGGGAAACAGGCCCAGAAATGATGGAGTAAGGCAGCGGCACGGAAGAGCAAACGCTTTGAACTGAGAGTCATTCAAAACACACAAAACTCAAACTGGATTTCACTGCACCAGCAGGTGTGAGCCTCCTGTCGGAGAATTAATGCCGAGCGGTTTTCTTTCACCGCAATGAGAAACTTCTCTTTTTATGAACCATAGAAAAAACACTCAATCTTTCCAAGTATTTTTGTTCTCATTTCTAGTGCAGATTATGGTAGTACACTAACAATAAAACCAAACTGTCTTTTCATGGAGATATAGAAGTTTGTTTTGAGTCAATGATTTCTTAATATTGATGAAAAAAACCAACTATTTGTTGCATTGGCAGATTATTTCACTTATGAGAAAAATATCTTGTTATAAGTGAAATTATCTCTCAGTGGAACCAGTAGCTTTTTAAAGACAGCATCACAGCCACCAGTACCTGCACAGGGTGGCAGATCAGACTGAGAGCAGGCGTGTCTCCAGGACTGGTGCTGTCGGGACGTCGGCTGTCCAGCAGGCCGTCAAACATTCCTTTGTCCTTACCAGCTTTATCACCGGGACCACAGCTGAAGAAGGAATGGGAGCTGGGGAGAGAAGAAAGACGGACGGCTGACTGTACTGCAACGAATCTGAGGGACTGAAACTGAAATTGAATTGAATTTAAATTCTACTCCAACACTGAACCTGAATCAGCTGGCTTAAGATGTGCAGTGTGGACATTGTACATTTTAAAAACAGTAAAAAAAAAAAAAAGGGAAATCATTGCTCCTCCAGAGAACTGCAGCCGTTTTTTCCCTCATGCTTTTTCATCTGTCTGATTTATTTATGTCATCCTGGTCCTCACCCGTGAAACACCCAGGTGTCAGACTCGTCGGCCAAGCTCACGTAGTTCTCCGGCAGAAGTCCAGACAGGCCGGTGGCCAGCGAGGTTCCGTGGACCCAGCCCTCGCTGGTGCTGGTCTGGTCCATGGAAGACGTGAAGATAAAATCACCAGGAACCAGCTCCAGTTCGTCATCGTTCTGGGGCATGTAGGGGTACATGACCCTCAGCGTCTGCAGGCACATCCAGAGGCATGACGCTCAACACTGTGAGGCGACCAGGGTTTGAACGTTATGTGTGACATGGAATTAGGGCGGGGCCATAAATCCATTTGAAGATTTAATTTAAGGAAATATACAGATTTAATTTATGGAAATATACAATCAACTCCTTTAGTTTTCATAGTTCAGAGTGATGTCTGCACACCAGAGGCCTTCGATCCTGTTTTACCACTAAAGATCAAACAACACAGCAGAATACTAGGGCCAGGCTAAGATTGTTTTATTTTTAAATAGGAGAATAAAGTATTACAAGAATACAGTCGCGCAACTATAAGGATAACGTTTTATTGTAACCAGAATAAAGTTCAAATATTAGGATAATAAAGAAATAATTTTATCAGAAATCCAACGCAAAAATAACAAAAAATAAAATACTTTGGTGTATATTTTAGATAATACTTAGTGGAAATACTTCATTGTTTAAAATATCAGCATCAAATTATTGGCTGTAACAGGACTTTGAAACAAATGTCCAGACGATGTTGAAGAGAAAACTCCATGAACTGAGCAGTTCCTGTCAGATCCTGATCTAGTTTTCATCATTACGACTTTTTTATCCATTTTCATCTTTATTCATCTAAATTGCATCTTTATTCTGTTAACATTAAGACTATATCCTCATAATTGAACAAAAATTCTTTAGTGTGGCCCTGATACAACTCACAGAAGGGATGATTGAAATAAAAGCCATTTTTGAAAATGTTTTTTGTCATTTTTTGATAGAAAATAAACCGAGAAGCAAACAATAAATTCAAAACAGGATTTGGTTGAAAAAAAAAATCTTAGACTTTAATCGCAAGCCGTATCGCCCAGTCCAACATGGGAAGCGTTGTTTCATTTATTTATTCGTTTTCAGAGTGTGAGCTACCTCATGGTTAGCAAAACGAATGTCCCGGGAGAACAGGACAGCCAGCCAATCACAGCCCAGCTTCACCTCGATGCCCTGGGCCAGTTTCTCCAGGGAGGAGAGGTGATCACTGGGGAAGTTGTAGGCCAGCGTCAGGTGGAGCTGCTTCTTGTGAGGCTCCACTTTGACCTCTGGAGGAGACAGAGGATTAATGGTCATTCTACTGTCAGGAATCATTACAAGTTACCTACCTACCATCAACCCGTGTGTTTGTCCACCAGGGGACAAACACACGGTTTTGAGGACGAGGGGGCTCAGTCCCCAGGAGACAGGAGGGAAAATATGACATTTCTCAAACAGCAACAGAAACAGAGAAGTTCTGGCCATATTTCACCCAGATCTTCCAGACCGTTGTGATATGAAGTAAAGGCTAAAAATGATACTTTATGTGGTTAAAATAAAATGTATCTTTAGCACATTACACTGAATTTGTTTCTGTAGTTGAGGATATTTTAGGGGGATGCCAGCCCCCCTAAAACAGGCGTAGTGACATCACTGCGTCCGGCAGTCCCTCTGGTACCCCTACCTGTCTTCCTGACGGCCTCTGTGGCGAAGTCGGCTGCGAACTGCCTGAGGACGTCGGCCACCTGCTCCTCCACAAACAGCCCGATGAAGTTGGACGACGTGTAGAGCTCCAGAGGCAGCGGGCGGGGGAAGCGGCCCCTCCACTGCTGCACGGTGGTCTGCAGGGCCTCACCCAGGCCTTCCACTTTGGGGTCGGCACACTGGGAGGAAGAGAGGAGTCAGAAGGCCGGTCCTGTGGTGGGACGGGCCGAACACGGCTGAGACGGGAGCCGGTAGTTTCAGCTCACCATGAAGAACTGACAGAGAGTGATGTGTGGGAAAATATTGTGGGCCTTGTTTTTGCCGCAGGTGACCCGGCTCTGCTGCCAGAAGTGTGAGAGCTGGTTCTGGAGCGGCCCGCTGGGTCGCAGGTAGAGAACAAACTCCCTGGGCAGGGAGTCGTCCAGGAACGGGTCGTCCACATGGGAGAACAGCCTGGTGGGGACAGATTTCTGCTCTAATGTCTGTGGTCAACTAGTGTATGAAGATGATATGTCGTTCCCAACAGTTTTTTTGAACAAAGATACAATGAGATTACAATAAACATTATAATAAACATTACTGCCTTACAGAATTCTTCAGTTTTAACGGCGCCCTTTGAGAAATCATTTGTGACACATCACACTTTTTAAACAGAACCTGCCTGTAATTTCATCATGTCCAGATCAAGAGAAATTGAAGTTGAATTGTATCAAATTGGAAATTTGATACAATCCTCCCAGTTTCCCCGTCCATGCGAAAGAAAAGCATCTCCACAGCATGATGCTGCCAAGTCTGTGTTCCACTGTGGGGGAATGTTTGGTCTGATCCGACCAGAGCGTCTTCATTCACACGTTTTCGACTTTCACTTTTCTGCAAGCCTGACGTGTTTTGTTAACATCATAGAGTTTAAATCACGACTGACAGCCATTTATGCATCATCTCTTCTCATAAATAATTCACCTGTAGATCTAATGCAGCTTTTAATTTAGCTTGTCATTAATAACTGAGAGATGTATCTATTTTTCCCTTTCAGCTCATTCAGTTTAAGCTGATGGTAAATGTTGGAATATATTGACATCCTCAATTTTTTCTATTTCAACATTCATTACTGAAATATTCAGATGTATTGCAGCACAAAACAACACCAGAGGGCGCCACAACACACAGCTTTCTCACACCTGGACTTGCGATGAGTGTGTGCTTTGTGCTGTGCCCACATTTAGTGGTTTAGCTCAGGATGGATAAACGTAAACACGTGTTTAAACTCACCAGTCACATGCTGCCTGAACACTCCGACCTCCAGTTGACACCAGAGACTTCAGGCTGGAAGAGAACACAGCAGAGACCGCGGGTAAACAGTGTGTCCACGACAGGTTTCAGAGGCAGGCGCTGGGGAAGCAGAGAGGGAGATCAGCTGCCAAACGTCTCAGTGCTGCTGAGCTTCTGAGGAGCTTCTGGGAACAGATGGAGAAATAAAAAGAGAAGAGCCGAAGCCTGGCGTCTGGGAGGAAAGTGTGACCTTGGAAACAGATCCAAGGAGAAACAAGCTGGGAAGGGTTCAAAGCCGCTCACCGAGCGGGATGCTGTGGGAGTCGGGTACAAACGGCGTGAGGGGAAAAAGGCAGGCTGGTGAATTATTCAGCCTTTCCTGTGTGGCTGGTAGAAGTGAAGCAAACGGAAATTCAGCTACTGTTTGACTCAGAATATTCAACAGTGTCTGCTGTAACGTCTCGTTTCAAACATCTGCCTTCACAGTTTAAGTTCAGGCGGAACCAGGACTTTCAGTTTTTTGGTTTCTGCCGCCTGCACAGCCTGAAGAGCCGTTTTTACCCTGAGTCCAGCTGAACAAAACCCATTTAGAGCCAATAATGTTACCTGATTTAGGGGTGCACAGATTTATTGGTGCCGATTTCCTTAATATGGGGAGATTGGAGATCGGCAGATAATTGCATGTAAAGCCAATCTTATCTTCCACAGCAAAGGTCTAAAAATCAACCACTGTCCTCTTCTGCTCTCCTGTGAGAGACGTTTGACTGACTGACCAGCCCACCAGGTCACGTCTGGACATGACTGTCAACACTAGTTGACAGCAGTAACGTCACTCAGCCAACTCAGCAGCTTTCTTGCTAGATTTAGTGACATTTCAGATAAAAAATATTGATATTGGCCAAAATTGGAATTGGAAGGTCAGGCTGTTTAAAGGTCAGTAATCGGTGGCTGGCCAGAAAACTGCAACAGATGCAGCTTAATACATATTTATATATTTACCATCATCTCTCCTGTCTGTTCCAATATGATTCAATTCACTTGGTTTACTGGTGTTCTGAAGATGCTTGTTTTAAATCCGGTTTGTTGTTAAGGACAGAAAACATCACTGTTAACCCTGCTGTCGCTATCTGTGTATTTTATTACTAATGTAATCTCGCTCTTAAAATGTTATGTATTGGTGAGGGTTGAAGGTCAAAAACTATTTCAGGTATTCATAAATTTTAAATCACTTATAAGATCAAAGCTGAAATTCGAATTGGTTGTAATAGTGGTAATACAAAATTTCACTAAATGTTCAATTCTTCTCAAACATTAACAGTAGGTCATTTTAAAGTATGTATCAAGCCTACGAATATTAAAGTATTTACTTAACTCAGAAGCATGTTATCTAGTCCATTTACTGTCATCATCATCACACATGCTAACTATTCCTTTCAGTTTGTTTCTCAATATTTTTCTCAACTAGACATGGAAAATAATACTAAAATCATCTCTGTCTTCTTCTCACGGTGAAGTTTGGATGTTTTCCTCGTCTTGAAACAAGAAACACAGCTGACTGACAGCTGAGAGCAGCAGGCGGGGAAAGGAAGAGCTGCTCTACGTGTTGTTATGCCTGAGAAAACCTCCCACTGTCTCCGTCAGACTATTTAACACACAGTAAATGTGAAGAATAACGCAATGGACACTTTTAGTGCTTTTAAAGTCATTTCTGCTCCTGCTGTGCTTGATTTAAATGTGACGACCGCTGCAGCGGTAAATCCAGCTCTGACAGTTCTGACTCCACACTGTTACTGAACGTGTTTTATTTTATTCTTTATTGCAATGAACACAAAAACGCACATTTAGGCTCAACATCGCTCCTAATGAATATTTTGTTAGGAGAGAAATATTTGACAGTGAATCGCTTATTCAAACAGTAAATTAATTGTACAAAAAAATTCCATATTCTGCAGATTATTCCTTTAACTACATAAGCCTATTTTGTACATTTTTAAAAAATACATAAAAGTTGCCATCTTAGTAAGCAAGCACAGTGCAAAGTAAAGATGCACTGTGGATGTTTTCTAGTCAGGATGAGACAGAGAATGTGGCTTATTCATTGTTGTCATAGCAACTCCATTGTCACCGTCAAGACAATTGGTTACAGACACCTACCAAGATGGCTGTCAGCTGCAAAGTTCCCAGAAGTGCGACTACACATAAGAACTATGCATTAATAACTGGAGAGCGAAAGGTGCTTCATAGATTTTCTTTTTACAGAATCAAAACCAGGTGAAGCTAAAACCGCCATGCATGAGTTTTCAAGCCTGTATATACTTCAGTTACTCAATTATTTCAATAATCGATTCATCTGAATAATTGTGTCAGCCCTACTTCCTATGCATTAGCGTGTCACACAAACCTGAGGTCCACTGAATCAGTGGTTTCATCAGTTTTCCTTCCACTCAGTGATACATCTCTGAATGTCTTTGATTTATTTTCCAGCTAAACCTGCCCACATTAAGATAAAACTATTAAAAAAGGAGATCACTGTTTCCACTGCCCGCTGTGTGTTCTGAAAGGCCGGCACGCATCGCTGAGTAAGAGAGCGCTTCTGTCATGGGAGGAATTGAGAAAGCCAGAGTGTGGGCAGAAGAATCTGGATCACGAGTCAGAGGAAGTGTTGGTTCCTCGTAAAGACCCCGAGAGCAGCAGAGGGCGACATTTAGAGCCGACTTATAGCAAGGATGAACAAACACAAAGAACATGCTCAGTTTCTGTGTCACTACTTCATGTTTCACGTTCCTTCCCTCCCCCACTGTGGAACTGGTGATGCATCACCAGACATATAACAAACAGGCGTGAATGAAGTGGAGCTGACTGAGGAGTGATTTACTCATCCGCCTCAGGTCTGGCTGAAGAGGATGAGGAAGAGCAGCAGAACTGATTCATCAGCATCTCATTAAGCCGAGCTGGAGGGACGAGGCCCGGCAGTGTGGACCTCAGGGGGGCAGCGGCACGGGGAGCGAGAGCGACGTGTGTGCTGCTGATCAATGGCGCTGCTGGTTAAAGGTTTTCTTGCTTCACGTCTTTGAGGGCAGATGGAAACATTCTCTGACGAAAACCCAAAGACTGTTAAACTCCTTCGGACTTTACACGAATAGAAAAAGTTGTAAAGTCAGATCTGCAGCAAATTTTCTCTTAAAATTTTCTGAAATTTTAAGTTCAGCAAACTTAAAATGACTGATTTTAGACATGTTTTTTTTGTTGTAAATATGTCTAAACATAGGTTTGAACTGATTAATTGAATTAATCATGATGACTTGATTACTGAAAGAACTGTAGACTGATTTATTCTTCAATTAATAGAAGTATACAGATTCAAAAGAAAAGACAATTATTGAAAAAACAATCTACATATTCAGAGCAGTAATTAAGCCAAAACAACAACAACAAAAATAAATGAATTTAAGATGAATCTGTTCTCCTAGATTTCATCAAAAAAAATCTATCAGGAAACCTTTATGGAAACCAGCCATTCTGTGCTGCGGTTCATACAGAGGCGACTGTTAATTCAATTTTTAGAGGCGTGGCCAACGCAGATTGACCACTTTGTTTACTTCCTCCACTGCTGTTGCCAGGGCAGACTACAGCTCTAAAACAGAGCAAAAAATAGACTTTATGGTTCACATCTCCTTGTGTTCACTGATTAGTCCGGTAGAAATTCCATCGAAGAAATCAAGTTCAGTGGGAGAAATCCGAGACAGGAAACTGAATGGAAATGAGAATCGAGCAGAATCGAGTAGGGAAGCAGGCGACCATGGTGGGTTGTTTCCATCCTGGTGCTGTAGCCATCACAAGAAAAGTAATATTTATAGTGTAACGTGAATCTCCCTACCCACCTGGCTAACCTTTGACAATGTCTTCAGACCTGTCAGCAATTTATCACAGTTAAAATGAAATTTTAACAAAAAAAGATCAAAATGTACAGAAGTGGTTTGGATGTCTGATACAGATATGCCATAACCCTGGTTGTCCATAAAGGTCAGAAGACAAAGAAGTTCATTTTGACCATTTCTTTATAACAGTAGACGTTTTAAATTATTCTACTTCACACACCAGAGAAAGGAAACAGAAGTCGTTTGTTGCAGCTTTACATGTGACCTCAGCACACCGCCGCTCTGACCACAGCCTGTGAGCTCACAGCGGCGGCGGCAGCTCCGCCGTCGTGACGCAACTGGTGTGCCAGAAGGGAAGGTCGCTTCAGGCGTCTTTAACCACTTTAACAAGACAGTCGATCACACAGTCAGCACAAGAACAGAAAGATTTACGCCTCGCTACCCGTCACCTCAGTCAATAAAGACATAATATTTGACCAAAGGCTCTGAAATAGAACTGAAAAGGAGAAGTGGATCCAGTGACGCCATCGTTATTTAGTCAAGCAACGTGTGAGGCCGACAAACTCCCACTTCTTCAAGAGAATTGGGTGAAACCTGTCTTTATGAGCATCATGACGTAAAGTGAAGCTACACACACTGCACCATGCAGAAGAACACTAGTTAGATATAAATATAGATTAGCTGCTTTGAACAGCACTTTGAACTGCCTGGTTGTTGAAATGTGCTATACAAATAAACTTGACTAATTGAAACTTGATGGATAGAACATGTTCCAAATTTAACATGCCTTTTACAAGAAGAATACAGAAATATCTGGAAACTTTATGGGTCGTTTTCTTGTGTCCACTCACAGCTGCGCGCTCTTCACTTCTTTTGAACAGGTCATGCTCACCACTGTCCTGCACCAGCTCTTCCTTTAACTATTTACTCTGCTGAACATTCACAGAACAACTCACTCAAATTTAAATTCTGTTTATTTATAAGCACCAAGTCACAATATCAGTGAATAAAGGCACTTTGCAAATAAATAAATGAAATTTAAAGTCCGTTTTAAATGGTAGTTTGAGTTGTTGTTTTTTTTTTTTAAATATGGGGTTCTGTTGAGATATTATGAGTGGTTAATATATTACTTGTGGTCGATTACTTTTTGGCAACAAAGACAGGTCTGGGCAGGGC